TAAGATAAAGCATCGTTTCTCACACTTATTTCTTCTCATTTTGATAGAGCTTTCTAATCTGACAGCACATAACCGACTGTTAATGGAGATCCAATTGATTAGTGCTGCCTCGACTCTAGTCCTTAGTGCGACAGCATCGCCAGCAAAACAAGACGAAGACGGCACAGGGTTTTTAGATGAGCGCACACGATACAAGATTTTCGAAGCGACAAATGGTCAGCGATTTTACAGTACCTCACCAAAGTCTTAGATACAGGTCTTGAATAGACAAGAGACATCAATATTGAGATTTTATGAAGATATAAACGACCATCTCTGTTGCCAGATATGTATTAGTGTGAGAACGTTTAAGGAGACCAGTTTGAATGTCATATGTGGTTCCAAAAACGCTGGTTCGAAATTTAGTAGAAGCACTCAACTTTCGACCGGTCAAAAACTTGAGATCGTTTAGATACGACAGGGTTTCCACCACAGATCAGCTGCTGTAAAGCCGAATAATAAGGGAATATACAGAATCGGGATAAGGGAATATACAAGTGACGCAATGTAATATAAGAACGAGTATTACTAAGTAGTTTTGGGTATAATTTGCGAGAACGAGAATCAAAGCGAGAATGGTTTTTGTAAATGCAGTCATCATTTAGTTTGTCCAAAGACTGGGTTACTGCTCGGGTGCCAAAACCCTATCAAGCGGTTCTCTTAGGGGATAACTTCTCGAGCCTTTGAAGTAGAGGTTCAATCCACAAAGCAATGGATAAACGTTAAGTGATGTAGTCTAATTGAAACCGGTGGCCAACAATAGGTTCATTCTCAATTTACTCCCTCGGGATCCTGGAGCATGTTGGTTTGGAATCAATGTTTTCCAACTATACCCGGTGGATCCTTTATATACACTAAACTGGGTAAAACGCTTTTAGGCCTTTCAATTTAGTTAACAACACCTTTACCGCGGGAAGAAGCACTTCCCTATCAGTGGTTTAGGGTTTTGAAATACAAATGAAGTTATCACGTATAATCCTGGTGGTGTTTGTAAATAATTTACTCTTTGGTTATACACAGTTTATGTAATAACGAAGTAAAAGCTAGGAAATCCGAATAGTTATATATTCAAAATAATCGTTATTTATCCGACAAGAAACAAGATCAGATTACCAAATGAGCATTCGTTATAAGACATCGGTTAATTTCTTGAATGATTGAAAATGTTATTGTAGACACCTTAAATAAAAGTGAAAAACTCGGAATTCGTTATGCATTTTTGTAAGCAAGCAAATGTTGCCATTTTCATATCTGTTATTAATGTGTTTTTTTCTTGAATAATCAACCATTCCGAACAATCGAGATTCGGTTGTTGCTATTTGTCGAAAAAAACAGTCACGAAAACCATAAAGAAAATAATTTTTGTCTTTCTTTAAGATTAATCACTGATTTAGTCCAGTTATTCATCCCACAAATAACCTTGCATCGTTACATAAAATGATATTAGCATTTTATTAACTTAGATGTTGGTCAGTTTTCTGTAAACTGAATTTATTACTTAATAATATAACAAATTTCATCAAGAACTAGAAATGAATGTCTGACCAAAAGTATATATAATATAATTAGGATTTTTAACGTGGACGGTTTTTGTATAAATTTGATTGTATTTTACTTGAGCAACTTAAGATTATTCTTACATGTGCCCCTGAAAGGTTGTATTAATTAACTCTATCACTCTTGAATCAAGCGATCTAATCTGCACAAGTAACAAGATGTTTTGCCGGTGGAATGGTGAGACGTCTACGCACGACGATGAATAAACACGTCCTCAGCCACTAATGTATAGCCCAAGCTTTGTACTCGACAACAGAGTGGTGTCGATAACGTAAACATATCCTACCGCCTATCACTCACACACTACAATTCCAAGAAATATTGTAGATGAATCATACGCGCTTCTCCTTCACTCGCTTTGAACTAATGGAGAGAGGACATCCTGAGGTAACATTAAAAGATGAACTAATAACACTGATGGTAAGTTTTAGTTATGGGATTTTCCCTTCAGTGATGAGGTTTATGCAAATTTTACCATATTCTGATAATGTTTCCCTATTTAAACTTGGATTTGTGAGAATGGATCGTTGATTTTTATACTACACATCGATTAAACTGAACAAATTAAATGGTATCATTGATTTAAATAACAAATATATCATTACTTTATCTTCGGAGAAACGACTGATATTGTTCATTATCCCTTGATTGAATTTAACTGACAAGCTTATATGAAAGATTCAGTAACGAAGAAAATAGATATGTATTTTTATTCTGTATTGCATCTTCAAATACCTATTTATTTCTTATATAGAAACACCACTAGTTTTATGTGACTTATTCAACTATCACGTGAATAAATATGAGAACGAACTGGTTATATCCATTGGTTTTTCAGTTTATAACCAAAATTTATACCGGATTTATCCTGCATGAAACATGAACATGATTATAGTGACTTCATTTACCCATTGTTCATACATAACAATGACATATAAAAAATAAACTGGATAAATAGGATGTGATAAGATATAGAATGAATTCGATCATAAACTTATTTAGATGTAACCACAATTCGGAATGATTAACATGTTTTGGTTCAGGAGATCAATTAAATTTTATTTATAGTTGATTATTCGAAGTTACGTTATAATGAAATCCTATTCATATGAATCAAAACAATTTAGACTTTTTGGCTTATAAATTCATTCCTCATGAATAATTGGCATTTGGAAACTACCGGTTGATAAAACAATAGAGCTTTTTCCATTAGTGACATGAAATGCAGAAAATTAAATGTGTATCAGAATACTTATAGTCATACACAGCATAGAACCTAACAAATAAGTGGATCGGTTCAAGTTGTCATACATCATTAGCACAGTGCGACAGATTTAAAGAAGCCGAAGTTGAAATAGCATTACTAGTATTAGAAAAAATCGGTGAGACTATAATTTTTGGATGACCTTTGAGTGATATTACAGTGACCCAAACACACAGTTTGCATTTATTAAAATTTCTCAGTTTAGTTATCAATGACTTTATGCACTGGTGCTACCCCATGATCTGACCATCCCTAGCATCTTTCCGAATTACTCCTAAACCAGGGATGTAGTCAAAAAGCATATTCGTTAAATAAATGTTTAAATTGATTGCAAATTATGTCAAGATTAGTGGTAAGTATATATTTGACCACTAAAAGTCATATGATTCGGATAATACAAGTTTATACCGCAGACTGGTGGATTAACTAATACGATGTAATATTATGTAACCTAACAATTCCCTTAACAGTAGTAATGAAAAAAACGAAACTAAAAGAAGAATGATTTATAGTGTAGACAGAATGCAACATAGTTTGACAAAATAGTTCTCTTGTACAAAATGATTACATTGGTATTTGATATTCTAACAAAACGGATGGTCACTTTCGCTCATACTGTCAAACCAGAGAAGTGAAACACGCAATGAAAGCAAATAACGGACAGCGTTTGAAAATTATCTATCATAAAATTACCTTGTCTCAAAATTGTGTTGTAGGAATAATTTAAAAGCTTCCACTCCTTGCACGAGCTTCTGAGAAAAAAATTCCAAGTATTTATGAACAAGGATCTTATAGCGCAAGTGAGACGGTAACACGGATACAAATGGAATGACATACCAGCAGAGTGAAATCCTCATGTATTGGTGAGTTATCAAGAGATACGATTAAAAAAAAATAGTTCACGTGGTAAAAGTCTCTTAAAATTCTAAATCTGTCATTAGAAACGATACATAAAAGCAGATTTAGAAGTTAAGATTGATAAAATATTCTGAAGTCAAATAAATTCATTTTTTAGAGACAAAATACAATTGAACGCATTCGGAAGACTTGGTAAGATATCATTGATATATAATAAGAGCGGTAGTCTAAGTGTGATAATATGATTTCTCATTTATAAGCTAATGAGATTGAGGCGGAAAATTACCGAAAAAATAGGACACCTAAATGTTAAATATTTAGGCAGCAATTGATATAGGATTCAGTACTTTCATTACGGAAGTAAGGAACTCGCAAGCAATTTAAAAAATAAACTAAATATCTCAACATTCGGTACTCAATGCAATAAGCTTTGATTTCTTTTGGTACATGATGTGACGAATAATTAAAGCATCACTATAACTGTTACACCATCAGTTTCAAATTTACTATAAATATTTGCAAATGCGGATAGAGTTCAAAAACTTGTATATCCAATAGTTTGACTGTAGTATCGTACATTAGTATACGACATCAAACGCAAATTACTCATCATATTATAATTGGTTAGTTGACAAAACACTTCAGGTGTCAAAAATCTTATTACAAACCGTGTAACTTGAAGATATTCTATGTGTTGGTAAATAAGTTCATCAACGCTTATAATTTCCTCGTTAAATGAGAAAACTGAGAATTGGAAGAGCATAGGTATTTTATTGCTTTCGATAATGCAGAAAAGAAAAAAAACAAATGAATGGAGAAAAAATTTTAATATTATAAGTAGTGTTTATATGTCGTTAAAACCTACAAAATGCATTCAAAATACGCCATAATCCTAACAATCTTTCTACTTGTTTCCCGTCAATGTTAGTAAAATGAGCATGATAACATTCTTGTACAACAATAACGAAATGAAACTAATGTTTAAGAATCCATTTTAACAGAGGACAATTTTCGAAAAAGGATGAAGTACCTAAAGGCGCATTTCGGTTCGGATGAAAAATGTTACAGTGAAAATAAGCATATAGAGTATCAACAATCTTTTCAGCAGTAAAATATAAAAGAAATCACATGGTTATGCTATAACTTATATACGCATAATTTCATCGAAAGTAAATATTAAGAGGAGAATACAGGATGTAAAAACTTTGTAATAGCATAAACCCAACATAAAAGAGTATATATATATATATATATATATATATATATATATATATAAGTTAAAAAAGACAGCGCTACTGAAACCTAATTCACTATTAACAAAATATATTATGAATTCGACAGTTATCAAGGAAATAAAGGAATTTATTTTACTGAACCAACATAATACTATTTAAACGAAATAAAAATAGAATGAAGAGCAACTATTAGTATTTCTCATGGAGTGAATAAGAGAAGCATTTCATTCATAGAGGCAAAAAACCACCATAGACTGAGATATAAAGAATAAAAGGGAAGTCACAACAGCGAAAAATGCGGGCGAAAGAGAACAAGGAGAGGGAACTGAATTTACATGAAAGTAATGAGAACAAAAATGGAAAGTGTTAATAAGCAACAACAGTAATAAGGAATCTTGGAAAAAAACGAAGGTGTAAATATGTTGATTCCCAATAATATATCATATTCAGAAAAACAGCACATATGAAAATTAAACAAGATGTAAAGGATATAAGGTAACTATATTTTGGGCTAAATAAAAGAATTGAACTGCTAATTAGATAAACTATATAAACGATAATAATAACAGTAGGAATGAACAGTTAGCTGTTACACACTCATGATGACACAAACAATCATAATTTCGAGCCGCATAGTCCTGGCTACGAATATGGATATTAATTTCTTTGAAAGTTGTATTCACGTAAAGTGTATAAATAAATATATGCTAAAAAATCACTTCAAAGGAGAACATATGTAAGAAAACGAGAAACCCAGATCACTGGTCAATTCAGAACAATTTGATCACAGTTTTCAAAGTGTTATGCTCAACATCCACACATTCCTCATCATCAACATTATCCATTTCAAAAATCTTAATTTGATCATTCAGTACGGTTGAATCCGATTCAATCTGACTGATGTCTTTTGTATCATGTTGTTCATTGTTATCGTAATAAATATTAGAACTGAAATTTGAGTTATTTTCTTCAATTGACTGTATGTCTTGATCTTGAAGTAATAGGTGACTGCTGGATTTACTAGTTCCAAACATTCCATTAATAATCACAGTTTCAGCTGGGCTGGAATCAAAAAACATATTCGAATTACCAACTGGACTACATGCACATTCTGTAGCTGGGATTTTTAGTACTTCATGTGATTCAAGTTGAATAGATTTTGATTGCACTGACTGAATACATGGCAATGGATCAATAGTGAAGGATAATGACTGTCTAGGATTCGACAACCGTGAACTTGTTAAACCAAACGAAGAACAATCATCAATAATTTCACTTTCCAATTGACTCTATATAAAATAATTAGTAGGCAAAACGTAAGTACTAAAGCGAGTTACACTGAAAATATAACACCACTAATCATAATCGTTTTCTGCACGTAAGAAATAACATGTATTTTAATTATGAAAATAAAAAGATAGTTTTTGGTTGAGATCATGAATTAATTGATGTTAGACCACCGTTGAAAACCTGGAAGCACTGGACGGCCGTTTCGTCCTAGTATGGGACTCCTCAGCAGTGCGCATCCACGACCCTGCTAAACCTAGTTAGTTTTAGGAAGTTGAATAGTAGTAGTGTTGTGCATGGCACTTACGTCTGTCTACAAAAGTAGTATGTAACACAAATCGAAAGTGGAATGCCCGGCAGCAAAAGGTTGAGAAGATCGAACCGAAGAGATCGGGAAATGAAGTAACAACTAAGTCCAAAACAAATGATGGACATTTTGCGAATGAAGTACTGAGCGTATGGTAATCATATTTTACCAATTAGCTCTGTAGCTTTGTATCCAAATACATTTGGTTTTTCCCACTTGAGTTGTCATTCATTATAGTAGTAGGAGTAGTAGACATCAAACAACAAAATCATAACTTAAAATCCAGGTATATTGTTCTGTACCTGATAATTAGTAAGAGTAGATTATGTATATTACTTAGGCAGCAATCATCACCGAATATCGGAAACTCTATTCTCGAATAGAATTAAGATAGTTAACAATAACACGGATAAACTTCAAAAGTGGAAACTAATGAGAACAGTTACAAAATAACTGACCGGATCCAGAGTAGGAAAGAACGGATTAAGACAGTCTAATCTTAGTTTTTTGACACTTCTACTTAATTAACTTTATTTCAAAATCCAAGGAATCACCTAATATCATACATTTGAATCATGTAAGTATAAGTCTACAAGATTAATACTGAAAATATATGGTATTATAAACACAGATTTAAACGGAATCGCGTAATTATGGTACTGATTTCTCGACAAACTGAGCAATTTAAAACGTTAGTTGAAAAAGAAAACCTCTGATAAATGTTTGACCAACTTACTAATCAATTATGTGACGCAATGAACATCAGAATGTACAACAGAAGGAAGTAGGAGCAACAGAAATCTTTATTGAGAAAAGTACCATAAAATCGAATAATTCTACCTTGAGTTAGTTTATTTAGTAAATGAGTAACCGTATGTAACTTGTCAATTATGACTAATACAGAAATATTCATCAATCAGGAACCCAGTAAAAAAATACTACCAACAAATCATTCATTGTGCACTAGTAAACTTAAATGATATGTTGGATGATGAAAGTTCGCATCTAAGCCAGAGGCTGATGTGGTTTCATGTTAAAAAGCAATATTTTCCCACTAAATAATACAAATTACCAAAGGTATTTAATTAACTGACGTTTTAATGCATAAATAGCGGTATTCGTATCACTTATTTAAGTAATCATGGTAAATCCAATGATCGACAAAATCGGATATGAAATACGAACAAAATTATTAAATTGTTTAGCAATATACGTAAACCGTGAAAATAACTCACTTGAGTATCTCCACTACCGGCCGTAGTTGCTGATATTGTTAGTAATTCTGGTATAGCTAAAGGTAAACGCAATGGACGAGTAGCAGTTGGATTGCTGATGTCATTTATAATGTCTTGTTCCTGTGTAGTTATATTAAGCAAATTATCAACTAATTCAGAATGATGTACACTGCTTGACATGGATAGGATATCTTCAGTCTCGTCTAAATCATCTGTTGTAGCTGCATCTTCAGTGCCATATAAACTAGGTGTTGGTGTTCCACCTGAAAAATCTTTATCCTCATGATTATTCGTTGGAATCTCAAGACCAGACCAAAAGCATTTTGAATTTCTATAGCTATAAGCATTAAGTAAGTTATTATCATTAATAACAGTGATCTGATTGTCATAATTATTATTACTTTTCTTAGCCATTTCGTTCATAGGAATAAAATATTGTTGTGAATGTGCAAAATCATAGATTCCTTCATGTGATGAGTGATTTTTTGACCAGTTTGGCTGAAAATGCAACGACTGATTCATAACATTATTAATACAATCATTATTACTGATATTAGTAAAATGAGGGTTAGTAAAACTAACATTTACATTAGAATACCATCTATAATGAGCGGTTGAATCAGGATGATGTATCAGTCCACTAGTAGAGATCGGTGACTTGAGAAATTGTTGAGAGTGTTTTGGTTGTTTAAAATAAGGCAAAATATCATTTGATGCATTATTCATGGTATCTAGTGACATACTATTCATATTGGAACCATCATTTCTACGTAAACAACCGTACTGTCCATCAGATTTATGAGATGAAGAATCCAAATAACCAGTTAAATCACTCACGACAATGTTTTCGTGAGCATGAATTTTTTTAATTAACTTCATTTGTGCTTTTGGTCTAGTGATTTGATGGATCAGTTTGTGAATCAATGGATGGTTCACATCGAGTACAGTGTTTTCACGATCTCTGGTAAAACAAAATCAAAAGAGATGAATTATTGTTTGTTCCAAAAACAGACAGCTTATGAAGTGTAAAACAGTTAGTTAATCTGTGGATACAATCAGTGTAGAAAAGAGATATTCATAACTGGTGGAAACAAACATAAACGATAAGTATGCGACTATTGTTACTAAATCTAGACTAACTATTAGACTTTATCCGAAAGTAATGAAACAACTAATGAGTACTTTCATTTGGCGAAATACCATTCACGTTATTGAAGTATAACTCAATTATGAATTAGAGTTGCATCATTTTACATCCATTTAGATATGAGTTTAAGTCCGGTCACTTGTGGATTGCGCTACGTTGTCGCCTAAGCACGAATTAATGATAACCAAACCAATGGTTTTATCACAAGGGATGGTATTATTTGATTAGCATGGGTATTTAAATTAGTACTGGAGTGCGATTCGGCAAAAAACTCTAAGTATCGACATTTAACACATTTTTGGCAACATCTATCAGTATTTACAATTTGCCATTCCCCTAAAACATGAAAAAGAACAAAAATATTGGAATATACAAGCTAAGTAATACCCTACAATATGTTACAGTTAGGAGCAAAAAAATCATCCAGAAATGGTAAGATTCTTTGTGTATCCACTTACTGCGACACATTAAGGAAAGGTAAGGTGAGTAGCTAACAGACCTATAGAAAAAACCCAGATGGGATCAAAAATTAAGGTAGTCGTTTTTAAAAAGCATGTTAAATGAAATACAGCAAAAGAATTGTGTACAATAAATCTGATTATACCAACAACCACTTTTAATACAGTTGGACAAAAAAATAAGTTCATCATACATTTATCATTCCACTTACTGTTTAGGAAAAATAATATTATTCAAGATATAAGCGAAAATTCTTAATTATTTTGTTTAATAAAGCGTGCACTAGACAACCATGAAGAAATTTACACGAACATATTTTTTAAATATAGATATTCAAAACAGAAAATATATATATTTTTAGTTCAGTCCAACTAATGGACTTCCCTAACCAGTTAACAGGGTTTTTTGTTTCCACATAAGTATACATACCTCCCCCCACCTTATTTGTATGTACAGATAATAGTTCAGTTTCTTTTGACATTAGAACTGCATCTTGTAGGTAGATGTTGTACAAATATGCTGAAGAAACCGTTAAAAAAATAGGTCTACATTTTTTAGTGAATCAATTCATATATGCGTATTTTGTCAAAGTAAACTATGGCCTTTGATAATATGTATTTAAAGTTGAAATCGCAAGTCAAATAATTCTTATAAACTAACTAAAACTATTTAGAACACTAAACATTCCTTCAAAGTAATAACTAAATTTCTGTGGTTCAATCAATGATGGAATTGTATTCTGCGATAGCTTTTATGAAATAAAATCACCCAATTCTTAATCATAATTGCTGGTGGACAATTTACTGTAAATAACAATCAACAAAACTAGATGTCTGGATAACTTGGAGAAACGAATTCATTAGGAAGGCAAACTACAACTACCAAAAGCAACAACTATACTGTTGTTTTTGCCTCACTTAACAACTATGATTCAGTGTATGAAAATAAGCACAAAATGTTGTGAGATATGGAAAACTCAATATCAAATAGGTAATGGAATACATGAATTTAACATTTCTATAAAAACTTAACTATATAATGTAATACGTACAGAAAACATAGAAAATACAAACTGTTGAGTTAGTAAAAACAATTGTATTAAGAAAACATAATATTGAAGATAACTTCTAATTTCTCCTAGGTGTAAGCTTTGCAAATATGGTTGTCAAGTATATATGTTAATATTATTGAATAACAATCATTGTGGTATGCAGGTAAAATTTAATAAACGCATAACTGAATGGCAGAAAAACGACCTTTTTTTCTAACATTAGTTGTATCAACATTTTCCAGACATTTCTTCTGACTAATATTTTGAAACATTAACCTTTCAGATGATAATAATTATCAAAATAAATATTCTCAGTATACTGGGATGATGAAAATACTGGTCTATTACAGTGAAGAAAATGTGAAGGGGTTGCACATGATATATATATATATATATATATATATATATATATATATATATATACTGCTTTGTAAAATAGATATGTAACTTCACATTTAAAGTGGGCTAAAATGTAAGTTTTTATTCAGTTTACATGGCACATATAAAACATTCCATGAAGGTATTTAATAAAACAAGTAACTCAATCAGAAAGGTTGCAATTAATGAACCGTCGACTGAAAGGGAAACTGATGGGCTGAGAAAAATTCTGAAAAATCCGTAAAGCATTTATACATGAAACCTGCGATTTACTTACTCTAAACACATTTACGGTGTAAATACTCAGTTGCCTTTCATACCTTTTGACTTGTTTATTATTTAAAAACTACAGATCAACATGACATTAGAAACGAACTAAGCAGTGATGTAACTGGTCTGTCTACCAAATATTGATAGATAAATAAATTTGATCTATCCACATTTCAATAGTATCCCGGTCACCATAGAAATCAGACTTCATATAAAGCAAAGTGAGCAAGAAAAGACAATAAATGAAAGACTAGTCAAGCACAAAGTCGCTGATAAAATTAAGGTTTTATCTATAATGTATAGCAAATTGTTTGTCTGTCAGTACTATACAGAATAACTCGTATGCAAAGTAAAATTTTGCGTTAACTTTGAAAAATGTTTGCTTTGTAAATGTCCCGCTGAATTTAACCATTATTTGTCACAGAACTTATTTGATACGTTCCGCGTATACTATTATACGAGTTTTGAGTTATGATTGAATAAAGCACAATAGAAAATTTATGTTTTCTATGTTTGTCTCCTGATCGGACACTGAGTTAGAATGAGCTAGGCGATTGAAACGCGTTAAGGTCTTGGCTATGGTCATTGGTCGATGTGTCATTCGATAGATAATAGGTCACCGGTCCTACTGGAAACTATAAATGAGCTAATCAGTAATCACACTAGAAAGACAAAGAGAACAAATAACTCCTCCCAGCCAGATCATACGAGCCCCAATACAATTCAAGAATACAAGTTCATCTCTACAAAGAGTATCATTATTTAAGATTAATGAATTTTGCCATGTTTCCTAATCTTCAACAACTAAAAGGAGTGTAAGCTGGAAACGGCAACCACTGAGAAGTTTTTTGGATTTAAACCATAGAGAATATTGAATATCATTAGATCTTATGTAGAAAATCCATCACTATGAATCTACATCCGCAAACAACACGTAAACTTAAAAGTGAACACGTGTAACCTGAAGCAAAAAATATAAATACCACGTACCTTGAATGCATTAGCAGTGTGATAATACATGGATGATAAACTCGTGCCATATGCTGAATAACGTTCTGAAATGCAAAAATAGACTTGTCAATATTAGACATGGTAGCCGAATTCCTTGTAGACAAATGGTCACAGCAATAACACCATTGATTTTCTTCATTTCCAAGTCTTAACAAAGAACGAATTTTATCATGTAATTCCTGGTTTTCATCTTTATCGCATGTATTGGTACTAATATCGTCCACATTAGTAACATTGTCGCCTGAAGTCAATATTGTCCAACTGGATAACAGACGTTTAGCTGCTGAATACTTATGATGATGAGACTGCATTGCTCCTTTGTGCTGCATTAATGGATCAGACTCTAAGGAGTTTAGTTCATCAAACGATTGATCAGACCATGTTTCAGCTAGATATTTATGAAAATCACTCTCCAAATAGGTTTTTGTTAGTGATATACAAGAACACTGACTTGATGTGTTATGATTGCGAGTACTTTTCTCAACAGATGGGACGTTTTGTCTAGAACAAGATCTAAGGATCCCATTTATATCAACATGAAAAAGAAAACAAATTCGGGTCAAAGATAAATCATGATGGCAAACAACAAATATGTCATGAAAAAATTTATATATTATTTGAAAAATGTGAGTGTCCAGTAATCATATCAGTTACATAACAAAGACCGTATGCTAATGAGAAATAAATTCAAGTTAGTGATTAAATGGAAAGAATCCCATGAATATCAACAAATTATTTTTCATTCATTGTAAATTTGATTGTTGGGCAAGTGTTTGTTAGCAAAATATGAAAATTACTTAAAATCAATATTGATTTTAACACGGACAGATATCAGATTTATTCTGGACATATGAAACCTCTAGAATTTTCACCCCGCTTTTGGAATCCATATTCGTCAGTAAGTAAGCAGTAAACATGAGAACTCATCATTTTGTCAAGTTTATTTTAATTTAAGAAAGAGAGAGTAACCATGTGATTCTATTTCAAGTCTTGGACAAAAAATATCCTTAAACGTTCAGACAATCGAATTCCAATACTGTGAAGTGAGGATTTTAAAAAAAGAGAAAGAAGTTAGGGCATAAAAGGGAAAACAATTTCAACCATTTGGAGATTATTGAAATTATATCAGTTTGAAAAAATGTAATCTACACAATAAATTAAAACATGATCTACTGGCACGCAAAATCTTTGTAAATATTAATTTAATTTTTATGTTGAAGGTTATTTCAAAAGACATTCGTTATTCATTATCACTGAATAACCTTCAGCTCATTTTCTTGATTAAATGACCTTAATTCATTTATATATGACGTTATGAAAAATTAATGTTTGATCATTACTTTTCTATACCAAATGTTTAGAGTGAAGTTTGAGTTAATATTAAAACTTTACTCTCCCTCTCTCTCTACAAATAATGAATATGTTTAGATCAAATAATAAAACTGGTTTAGCCTGTCACTTATTTCCTGCCTCTAATAAAAACTAGTTCTACGTATTGATCTCACAACAATGCTACTTATCAATCAGTTTGTAATTTTAATAGACCAATATTTTAATAAATATGCAAATGCTCGATTACAGGTAGTAGAAAGGCTGTAAACGGTTGTAGTGAGTCAATCTTCGTCAATATTATTCTGGCCTATGCTTGTCCAACTAGATCACAAGATATATCATCAGTTAATTAAGACCGATCAATAAATGAGATTACAACTTGTTTTAAAAAGAAAATTTGGTTGAGCTCATGAATGACTTGATTACTAGTCCAAATTGTAGAAATTTGAAATACTAAAGTGTGACGACGGACCACCGGTGAACTCGAGGAAGCTGTAAGAGGCTCATAAAGAGCCGAAGACGTTCCATCCAATCACCTTTCGGAAGAATGTTCTAGAATTCCAACGTGTAGCTTCCCCATTGGATAATGCTAATAACCCCCTGTACGCGGATTGGAAGACTGTAATGATGATTTCGTTCTCACTAAAAACTATAAATACCTGACAATTTTGTACTATGTTTGACACTGTTTGGAATAATATTCCTTTCGTTAGTCTTCTGTCTTCTTATTGCGACTTGGAAGGGTTTGGTGTTCTAGTGCTCAGTTATACGCGGTAGTATCCAGAAAAATCAGCTTTTTTCAAGTTATAACATAAAGACTGTTTATCATAGAAATGACGCTTATTTCTAAAATGACACCGATTTCGTTAGCAGTTAATAACATGACCTATAAGTGCGACATTTGTTGAGAATACATTAAATTGAGAACTGATAAGAATCCGAAACAAAAAATAATATATTGAAACGAACAATTTGCTTAGAAATCAGATATAGTAAATCTCATTGTTTTACATCATTATCATAAGGCGATATCCCATAAAAAGTATTCTTTCCGCACTAGTAATCCACTTTCACCACCTCACCTATGATAACTATTATAAATATATTACTTACTGCTTCCTATACTGGAATGTTGAAAATATGTTAAGTAAATGAGTGTGATACAACTTCATGTATTCTGCACATCAATAATGGAGTGGGAATATAAGCAATATGAAAATAAATACGGAAGCCTTACTTCAGAGGAGATGGAAGAGTTCGAACTGTTCTTGGTGCAAAAACTGATAGAGGAAAATTTGGTAAATCAATGTGAATAAGAGACATCGGATCAATAATTGAAGGCTTCATCAGATTGGGTTCATATCCTCCTGAATGCACAGTGCTGTGTACGATAGGCGAAACATAAACACTATTTGGATCACAAGATGTTTCAGTAACTGAATTATGAGAATCGACTGGGAAATTCGAACTTGAAACCACATTATTACAATTACTTATATTATTGTCACTATGTTCCTGCTTGCTCGAAACAGCTATGACTGTACAACGTTGTGATAATCTTTCCCGTTTAGAGGCGCAACTATCACTTCCTAATGAAAGAGATTCATCTTCATTATCTAATTCAATGAGATCACAGGATTCTTCTTCCAAATGGTTAACAGATTCTACAGTAACTGACTGAACCTCGTTTCCATGTACTGAATGTGCTGAAGAACCACAAATTTGTTTGCTTAAATTCGAAAGTATCAATTCACGGAATCGGTGACCAAGACTAGCATCACGAGTCTAGACAAAATAACAGAGGAAAAATAAAGACAAAAAGCTAAGGATTGTGGTACACATATTTTAATTGATCAGTTTCTAACCTTTTCATTCATATTAAGATCATAGCGACAGTAGAAATACAAACCCTTATAGATAATAATAAGTGAATTGGTAAATAACATCATATGGTTTTATTTAGACGTTTTAGATAAAACACAATACTAATCTCGATATAACAATGAGAAGACGGAATTGATCTGAAAACTGTGATATATTTGCGCTATGAATTTCGAAAGATCTGGGTATATATATTTGAAAATTACTAAAAAGTCGATTAAATGAAAGGTCAAGTAAACAAAATGAGGAGGAGTCCCATACTGGGACGCAACGGCCGTCCAGTGCTTTCAGGTTTTCAATGTTACTCTAGCCTAGATCGACTGATGAATTCAACTGTTAAAAGTGATAATAATAAATAAAGGAGAGAGAAAATTAACATAGTATGGAAAGATTAGGGAAGGGCAACAGGTCATTACTTTCTTCCCCATAGATCACAACGATATCATTCTATATAATATTGAGTTTATGTAATAAACTGAGCAATATTAAAATCCCTAACCACATGACCAACATATCATCCATATATCTCCTATACAGAGTTGCCTCGCTAATGAGTACACTCATTTTCAACATATGACGAAAATACATCGGCTGAGAGAGATCTCAAACGGCTACCGGATCAAATCATACAAACCATTTAAAAAGTAAACAGCAATAAGCGTTCTGCTTATACATAAGTTTAAACAGAATTAAAGGTAATAGTGTATACAGATGAAAGACTATGAAGACTTTTATGTTAAGCACATGCATCTTGACATTATTTGTATAAGGAAGAGTGAAAAAAAATAATTGTTACCTGTAATGGGATGGTAATATTCTTTTCTGTAATACAGCTGAAAATCTGTTCACCGAATGCATTTCTTAGCAAATAACTGCATAGACCTAAGGGAACAAATAAGAAAAAACCGCAGAAGTCCACAATCAGTTTATACGTTCTGATACACAGAACAGTACTATTTTGTTTTTAATTTGTTTGATGATGATTACAATACATAACTCGTGTTTTGTTGAGAAGTCTGTAAATAAATTTCAAAACTGTTTAAAAACAAAAAGTCATTACCGAATGTCTTAGATATTAAATAGTATTCTAAAAGGTTACTGAGTCTCCACAAGTATTCACGGAATGCGGAGCATAACTTGATATATTTCATAATTTATTTGTTTATTTACCAGATCAAACAATATAACTGTCAGATATCTATTGGCTTGTAGTCAAACTTAATTTCACGTCGATTAAGTAGATTATCGATGTTCAAAAGAAGATATTTCGTACGCGAAATCCCAGTTACTCTAACTATTCGGAGAGCGACATTTGAAAATCACTAGGAAATTAATACCTACCAACTATTCAAAAACACGACGCAGGAAATAGAAGAAACAAAACGTTTTGTTGACATTTTTACCTAGATCGATGGAAAAATGGCAAGAGAATCAGTTTTGAGAAGAGCAAGGGTAGGAACCGTTTTTCAGATTAAAAAGTTCTACAAAATTGCTCGATGAAAATGAGTAGTATAACGACATATGGCAATCCGTATGAATATTTTGTCTACAGATCAGCTAAAACATATTTTCAAATAGTCGGTTATTTTCAATGTAGGACCCGTACATCAGTTCAGGCTTTTAAAATCATATAGCATTTGCATAAAATAATTACCTCATGGATAACGACTTAACGTAATGACCATACGATCAACAGAATATAATGTATATGTCCTAGAATCTAACAGGGTAACATAAGATTGATAAATCACTTTCATAAATGATTCGAATGTCCAATAATATAAATGTTCCACTATCTGAATAAGCAATAGCCAATGTTACTTCCAGTCCTGTCACTGTAGAACGATTATTGAACACATCTAAAAAGGAAGCTCCTAAAAACCAAATAGTGATGCTTTTTGGAATTCGTTCACTAATTCTCTTTGAATAGCATCAAATCCCTCAAATAAGGATTTTTTAAAACTACTTTCCAATAATAACTCTAGATAATACATATATAAACTTTAATGCGATAACAACTAACCAGTGAAATCATTTTCATCAAGTTGAAATTCTGACCACCAATCATCAATACGTCGTTCCAATAAATGTATACGAGGCAGAATCCGCAATTCATAGAAACATTTAGTTAACTCGGAGCCTAAATCAAGAGTTAACTGAATGGTGGAAGCGAAAAAAAGGGAAAACTATTAAAATCACTCCGCAGTGTTAAATTATTAGAAAAGATACAAAATTAATGTTGTATACTGATGCATTGTGAAATAAAACAGTGTTTTAATACTGTCAGTAAATTCCGAGTGACGACTACAACCAGTGTGGTTGATAGCCTTGAAAACTATTGGTGAGACTATGGTTTATGGACGAACCAATCAGTTATAAGATAACAGGTGTTGGATTTTGGTGCGAAATTCATTCATTCATATAGCTAAATAGTGTTTGTGAAAGACCCTAAATTTAGTTTCTAACCCTAATCATCAACTTTAAACCATAATTCTACTTCCTCGCACTGCTCTATAACCCTAATTTAGTCCTAGTAAGTGGATGTTCACAAGGTAATTTTGGAGTAGCTCAAAAGCCGTCCATAAACTATGGTCTCACCAAAATATTTACTGATGGCTCTTTTACACAATGATCCATGCCACTTAAATTTGGATCTGATTATCTGCTGAAGCCCACTATCTGTATATCATACGCGAGGACACTATTTCAAACACCTACAACTATGCTGTTAAACGACTGCTTATTCAAATTTTATATTTAAAAAATCTCATATGGCCTAATATTGTCATGCTTCAATTTTATAAATTAAAATGACAATTCACTTTCAGTAGTATCTTGAAAGATGATCAAACAAAAGAAACAGAAAAATGGGCGTAATCATGGATCAATTAATTAATAATGATTGCTACGATAATTAAGATTACATTAAAGTTTACGAAACTAATACATTTGTTGTTTAAGTGACAAACGCTTATTCATTAAATATTTAGAAGGTATCAATTTCACATAGATGATGGTAGTTTGACAGTTAATTAAACAGTTAAAAACAACCCAATAGGTTAAGCAAATAAAATAATTAGTTTTACTGAACTGACTTCTTTTTTGGAAAACTCTTTTTATTATCTCTGTCAACACAAATATATTTTTTGCATCCAATTTATGATACAACATGAATAGAGATGAAAAATAGAATAAGGAAAGTTTTAAGCATGACAAATCAATGTTCAAAATAGATAAGGGAGTGATGAGTTATGAAAACTTAGTGAGACAGGGTGTTATACACATTGCATTTGGATTGAAGACACTAGGCATGACTCGTAGTATATGCGTAGTAAATTTCGCGATTATATAAGCAGACAAGTAAGAGAAAATGAAGTTTTTCTCCAGAATTAGTAAGAAAGCAAGTATTTTTTCCTCGCGGTTGACACTGTTCATCGAAAACATTCCTTGTGAATCGATAATTTTACTGATTACTTAAATACCATTCAAATAGGTTCATAGAAAATGTTTCAAACACTGTTAACTCTAGCTACTTGACGAACTTCTGCTTTTTCATCGGGACAATTTCTAACCCCATTATTTACGATACATGAAACAACATATCCTCCTTTTCCGTTGCTAATTCATTTCAGCTTTGAGAAAGGTATTAGTTTGGGTTCTGTGATACATGTGTCATATGATTTTCATAAAACTTTATAAGTTATAATTAATCTATGGAAAGCTTAGATTTCTTGGATAGGCAAATATATGAGAAATATATCGTCGGAGCTAGCTTAAAGAATTAAAAACGCAAACGCTATTGAGAATATAGTTAGTAGATAAAGAAGTTACAGTATAATGCTTCGTATTAAAAACAGTGAATACTGTTTATTCCTTGACACTGATTATGAGCTATGTTAGTCAATATCTAAAAAATCATGGAAAGCAAAAGTAGGAAAACCAATGGTGGAATTTTATTAAATTTTTATGTTAATAATATAGAGCTCATTAAAACACTAATAAATACGATAGGGGGTCATATGTTCTGACTCAAATAATTACAATCAGGTAGATACGAAAAGTAAATAAGCTAACATCAAAAATATATTTAACTTGCTTTTAAATTTCGATCAGATAACTTTATGCGTCGAAAGAATTTCGACTTGGATTGAACTTCAAGAGCTTTGGCACGCCTATAACCAATAAGTAAACAAACAGGTAAGAAAAATAGTATTATTAAAATTTTTTGTAAACATATTATATTTGTTTTAGTTTGGACAATAAATTCATTTTCTGTACGGGATAATATTGTAAACATTAAGTATTTACATTTTAATTAGTATTCAGGAAGTGACTACAAAATGAAATTATTTTGCTGCTTAAATACACAAAGTGTTAGCTATATTCCTTTGTATGTCTTCATTACGGGGAAAACGAACCAAAAAATTTCAAAACCGGAAAACTTTTTTCGTATGGAATAAACGCATTTATCGTCAGTATTTGAAGGGCATTTAAACTATTTTAATGTATTTTCTTTGTTTGCCATTCAATTCAATGGTTTTAAGTATATTTTATTCACTTAACACATGTGAATATTCTATGATGAGTTCATTCAAGCCAATTTCTATTCAGTACAATTGAAATCTCCTTACCATTATGATTTCTGAATAGTCACAGATACAAAGAAATTATCATAACTCTTTTTTACTGTTCAATTAATGTGTTTTCATCATAATCAATGTAAAACTTAAAATAATGAATTTCAAATTATTTGTAATAACTTCATCTTGTTGATTAAAAATGTATACCGCAGTGAAGAAGTGTAATAATAATAATATTATTATTATTAATTTGTGCTTTGTTATTTTTTCGCATTTTTGAAACAGTATCCTAGTTACAATCAGTTATAAGGGATGCCTACATTATAGTTTATAATTAATGTAGACATTGATGAATAATTAAATAAGATGTTGATATGATCAATAAGAGTTAGCTACCATAGGTTAAACAATAGCCTAGCACATTGTACAGAGTTATGGAGAAACAACAAAAGAGATTTCTTACGAAACAAAAAAAATAACAAATAGCCAACAATCTATTCCTCCTATCTAATTTAAGTTGATTTACATCTAAACGGAACTATTCAACTGTACACTATCTGATTACTAATAAAAAATGTTATATAATTAACGAGGAAAAGATTAGCTTACCTATTATAACTCTTTTCTATTAGGTTGAGCCAACATCGAGTTTTGGTATTTAATGTATCGGCGACAGTGTTGTCCGATAACACAGATATAGGTAGGGAAGATAATGATTGTAAAAAATCGCTAACGTAAAAAATAGATCAAATTGAAATAATCTTATCTAAATCATATGTGGATACAAGTAAGAAATATAGAATAACAAAAATTAAACGAAAAATTTGTGATGATATAAATGGATGATAAACTACTGAACTTGATATTTTCAAGAAAGCTGATGATAATAACAAACAAGGGACTAATTATGCAATTTCTACTGATTCCTAATACAGTATTTTTCACCAGACTACCGGTGCCTTGAAAACAGCTCTATACTACTGGTCACGGTTGTTTTCAGAATATTGATGTTACTCAATAAGTTATAAGAATTATTAGATTTAGTGACAATCCAAGTGTAATGTATGGTGTCGAGCGATCTTACATTATGATCTAGATGATTACATGTAACATGTTTTTGATGTAATTTTAATATATGCATTTTTTCCTTCCTAATAATGTACAGTTTAATAGTATGAAGCACCTGTTCACATATACTTATAAAGACAGGTGAACAATTGAATAAATATCTCAAATCATGAGATCTTGAAGAAACTGATTGACAGACAAACGGTTGTAGAACACTTCATGACAGGTTCACTTGATCACAAGATATCAAATATTATTTTTTTTACCTCAAAGGTGGAAATTATTGTACCAATATGATCTGCACAATGTCCATTTTTAAGGTCAAATGTGGGTGAAAATCTATGCGAAATCCAATTCCTTGAAATGTTATAACTGATGCATCTGATAAGAGTTCAGTATTAATTTTGATGGCATAAAATTTTATCCATATTATCATAAACAATAAAGATGAAATACATATGATTACTGTGATTATATATAATCAACCAATAGTTTTAAAAAAATGGTGTTAAAATGTTATTAATAGTACTTAGGTACTTAATACCTACCTTAGTACAAGGAAGTCTATATTATTGTACATAGTATAACAGACACATACGTCTTGAGAATTACTAACGGATTAATAAACTTTAGCATCGATTTCCACCCTAAATGTCACATGCTACAAACTCCGACGAAAACAACTTGTATAAGTATCAAGAATAACTCCTTTGGGAAATAAATTTATACAAACAGTGTAAGTCAGTCAATGATTATTTATACCAGCGGCTAACGATGATATCTACATTTAAGCAAGATAAAAAGTTAAGTTAGTTTAATGCACTAACGGCGACACTATTTATAAATACTTCCGGGAGGTGATAACCGCCCTCATACCTCTAATAGCACTCAAGACCATTGTATTCATAATTAATCTCCCTCTTCAATTCCTAGTATTCCTCTTACGTCGACTTTCAACTCTAAACTTCCTTCTTTGGCTTTCGTCTCAAGTGTCACCATGGCCAACTATCCTAGTGCTTTCGAAGATCATCACATTAATTTACTCTTCGGTTTATATGTTCCGAGTTATATCCGTTAGATATCGTTGCAACGATGCGATTTCCAAACATAATTCATCCAGACTACACATCTCGAATAAATGTCATGGATAACTTGTTTCGATTATACAGATATGGACTGAACGTCAAAAACACTGTTCAGATAGTCCAACTAGTCCTTTGAGTAGTAAAAATCAATTAAATAATATTATTAATGGACCAACTATTCAGTGTGAAAGAAAACAAAGTAGTTCATAACATTAAATAGTTGATAACTGGTTGATGTAACAAAAAATGAAACCTGTGATATTCTCAGAAGGAACACATGTGTTTATGTAAGAGACTAGGATCAACTCAATAGCTTTATTCTCTGCGAATTTAAATCTTTGTTCTGTTATAAGCACTGGTTTATACAAAACCTTATCTGAAATAAGTACGACGACTATGATTCATTTTTGGCAAGAGATAAAGATACCACTAATAAGTCTAAAAACTAATAAGGAAAGCATACGACGACAAACTTTTTTTCATTAGAACTATACGACAAACCTGAAGTAGTAAACAAAATGCGCGAAGGACTACGCTCAATCATGCAAACTACAGGGCTTATTATTAACACCATGTCACACCTCAAAAGAGGTTCCCTTTATAGAAAGATCTAAACAAGTGTGCGAATTCCTGCAGTGTAGATTTCGGAAGCAAAACACCTACAATAAAGTCATTTCACAGAGAATGTTTAAGGCGAAAAAAACGGTTATACCAATAACTATTATGCGAATTTTTTTTAATTTTGTCCAATTAGCAATCGATAATTAATCGGATATATATAGCGAGAGAGAAGGCGAACTGGAAAGTGTTTACTTGTGGTTATAAAAATCAACAAAAATAGGTTCACAAGCTGAAGGTAAGGGAGCAAATAAACATGTAAAAACAACAACAATGAATAGAAGATAAATAAGTCCATTTGAAAAAAAATAAAGCTAATGAGTTTATGATTCAATTGAATGCACATAAACTCGCAAATCTCTCACCATTATCGTTCCTTTCTCACAGTCAGTCCATGTCATCACGTGATGTTTTCATACCCGGTGTTGTCCATTCCGACTATAGTGTTTAGTCTCTCAGCAAGATGGTCAGATCCTTTCCTGAACACTTTTCTATGATCGACTGCAGCTTTTCGTACCACTAATCTTTATCGTTGTCATTGCTATCATTGGTGGGTTCATAACGCTGGATAACATTCACTGTGGTTCCCTCCTTCTTTGTTTTGAAGAATGTTGTAATGATCCTGCGTTCATGAGTTTCCCATTCGATAAGTGGTTTATTTGCTTCCTTGGACAGCATCAGAGTAACTCCCTCGGTGTATGGAGCATTTATTTTCGTGAGCATAGTACAACAGTATTACTCCTGAATCTGTCCTTTTCTATCCTGCTTGGGTTAAATGGATTTCACTGATTACGAGAACCGCCACGTTGTATCTTCTCATTTCCGTAGCTAATTAGCTGGTCCTCCCGGTCTTCTACATTGTCCGAACATACTATGCACCTGTATTAATAGTTTCTGTGATTATTAGAAAGAATATCAGCCTCGTGACTGTTGGATAATCTCGACTTTCACAATGAGACGTAACAATTCTACTGAATGAAGATCCTTTAACTCCAAGGGCAGATTTTAAATGATTTAATTTGTTTATTCTGGTTGGTGATTTTTTTTGGCAAGGTTGTTTTCTACGGGATGGGGTTGTCGACCCGATGCTCAACGTACCTTCATAAATCACAGAAAATAATTCATAAACCTTATACATAGTTCTGTAGAATAAATATCTCGGTTCTGTACATAATGAGATCCACTGTTTATGGTGCATCATGATCTTGTATTCTATGTACATAAGATCACATGAATTTTAAATTTTGAATAAGGGAAAATAAAAGATGGGTACGAGATCCTTCTGGCTTTTCGATTGATAGAATGAGAACAGGTAAAATATTTTGTATGGGTGATTGATCACTACGTTAGAAGATATAGTTAGTGGGTGTAAATGGGAAGTTTTATAACACTTATTTATTACGAAATACGTTAAAAACACACCTTTATTTTTAATTCAAATAAATGTTGACTTAAAAATATCTGAAGATCAAGAAGCCTCGAGTAAAAGTACCTAACTCGGCTTGTTAAAAGACAAATTATACTATCTCCAAGAGTAAACTAAAACATTTTGGATATAAAATAATCTAAAGTCATGTTAGTATTGAAAGAAAACCGATTGTTCATACAGAATAAATTGTTCTTTAGTTGGACTCCTAGTAAATGAAATAGCTAATCTAACTGAAAAAAACTTACAACATTCATTAAGAAATGGAAAGATATAGCACTTTTAAAACTCAATATTGAAAGTGCTTGACAAAAATTTGTTAATTCTAACATGTTATTATTAATAATTTATAGATTACGCTTACTTGTATACAGTGATAGGCTTCTTTGCCATAGATTCCATTTGGCTTTTCCATAAATTCAGTTCCAAATATTCTAATTGCACATTAAGTATAATCAAAATGTCTTCAGGTCGAGCCTGGACAAATAATCAATCATATAATTGTAAATATATAGTTATCGATCAAATAACAGAGAAAATGATGAAGCAATATATTTAACAAAAATAGCTCATAAAGTGATAGAAACTATGCTCAAACGCCAAAATAATTTTGATACTGTCTATATTCTCTAACTAATAAATAAAATGTATCAATTCATAGTTATTTTTTTTCGAAAATTATAGACTATAATACAAAACTAGTTCATGAGCACTAAGCAGTGGGAATACCCGTAATTTAATCAGTTAGGCGTTAGGAACGTAGAACCTGACAATATATTTGAGCTGTTTCAAGAAACAGCACCAAATCTGCACAGTGAAATGAAGTCAAGACAAATATGATAGTAGTAGAATTATTAACAATATTACTAGCAGTATAAGAGGATAGGCACAAACGATAAGATTGGGTAATAAATTCGTGGAATAATAAGTTCAAGTATTTTAAGACAAAGAGTAAATAAATTTGCTCCATTCAGTCTGACTCAGGGCTACTTCAGTTAAAGTCTTCAATCATAAAGTCTGCATCCACTTACACAAATCACTTCAGTAGTTAGTGACCTCATGAACCAATGCCAAGTCTGTAAATCAATTTCAACAAGGAATCTTGTATCTTTAACTCAACTCTTAAACTCTCGTATAAATTGTAATGATACAGTTGATAAGAAAAAAGAATCATGTAAACTATTTTTAGTAGTAATGATAATCAACAGTAATGAGGAAAGTAAAGACCTTGACGCTTTTAGACGTATTCCTAATACGCAGTAAATTATAAAATCTTTATTTAACTGTTTCTACTGTAGGGGTTTGAGTAGACTGTAAGAGATCACAGTTCATATCACTGACTGATCATAGTTAGACAGTTATTAAAAACTAAGGAGTAGCGGACAGCTGTCATGTCGTAGTATAGGACTCCTTAATTGTGTGTACTTAAGACCCCACCAGGAACCTAACCTAGGGACTTTAAGCTTCATTACGAGAGCTTAAACTTAATAGATCCGGGGTCGAATGGTCACTTCAATCAATTTGTGATAATGTATGATCATCACCCATTGCCAATGATGATATGTACCTCACACTCGACACGACTGAACTCCATCAGTCACTTATTCCTTTGGAACTACCTCTTGAAGTAAATCATGGTCGCGGATGAGTACTGCCCACAGCTCCCTAGCTTTTAATCGTTTTCTGTGTATGGTTAGTTTGTGATATAAACTATATAATAGACTATTTATCAACGAAGTTGATCTTCTTAATCTAGTTTGACATTCATTTATAATAATTGTTTAAAAGAAATATGAGCTGCTTGAAAAAGTTACAGAACAGTTTCTTTGTTTAAATGTTGTACATTTTAGATAAACGAAATGGTTGGAACATTTCCATTTTAAAATACATATTTATCACTTTTCATTTTATTGCAACGCAACACATTTTGTTTACAAGCTAATCGTATATATGACGGTTTACAAGACACACAGTGTTCACATAAAAAAAATAACAAATACGATTTTAAAAATGTGATACAAATAATAGTTAATTTATAAAGCTTTGAAAACTAACCAGTAAGCAAATGCTTCGCACAGTTTTAGGATCATTAGAACGTTTTACAGAACAATTCTCTTGACATGGTATACGAGTGACTAGTTTGAACACGAAGTGAAATACGAAAGCATCCCACAAAGTATACAGTAGATATTTGGTTACGGTGAATAAAAGATGAAGTATGAACCATATAGGGCATAATATAAATGCACACAGTACACTGACTAAAAATTGCACGATCGATTTTAACAAGAATTGGTAAATAATAATCTCGAATAATGGTAGTAGACGATTAGAACCAAGAACTGAGATTTTCAAGATAGAAAATAACAAAACAAAAACATTAGATCTAAACACAATGACCGATATTTGGGATGAATGTTATAATATTACTCATAAAATGAGTTATTTGAACAACGAGTGAATTGCTAACAACAGAAAAAACAAAGAAGTTAAACTGGGATGAACTGACAATAATTTTATTTCTACGACAAATATTGGTAGACTGATTAATTTTATGTCACCAGCAATTCAAAACCGCTATTTTTTGTTCAGTATACGATAACTAGCAAACCCATATAAAACCGAACATTGATGAAATAAGCAACCAAAAATGAGATGATTATTCATTTAAATTATATTAGGATCTAGGCATATTAACATGCCTACAGGTTAAATCAAATGTTAATGAATACCACTGAATACTAGCGTAATTAGGATAATCAGTAACGTAATTCAAATGTCTACTTCATATTACTCATTAGTGTGGTATGAAAGAACGTTGCATAAAACAAATATTCTTTATTGAAAATATATATGAGAACAACACATTAACATACCCGGTGTGTATGCATTCCAAAACAGTAAACCAAGTAAATGTGCAAGTAATGATAGTAATGGTATCACAGGTATCGATAGCACACCGACTACTATTGAAGTGGTAGAGCATAAAATACATAGTGTAGGCCAAAATATTATTAGAACCATGGTTGTCAAGACACCACAAATTATATACGTCCAGATCCAATGAATTGGTCGTATTATATACCATCGAAAAATCCCAGTTGATAACAATTGATGGTCAAAATTTTGCCTATTTTTACGTAGTGTAGTCCACATTTGACGAAGAAAGCTGATTAAAGTATGATTATAATATGCTTTGTCATGATATACATAACCCTTTAAATTGAAGAGCAACAAACAAAAATGATTGCATACCAGTCATAAATTTAGTATAGAATGCTCAGCAAAATACTTTGGAAGTATAGAAGTATGGATCTAAACCATTGAAATCAATGTCGTAACAATGTGGAACAAGATGAAAGATAGGTTTTCAGGTGTTAACCAATCCTAACAATAACATACAAAGTCAACTCGCATAATTTACACTATATCACAGTGAAATACGGTCATTAGGTCAGATTGCGATCTATTATTACTACCTGAGCGTGTTATGAGCCAACATGAGATTAGGGAAATAGACAAGATAATTTCCACTAGAGATATTTCGTATTACAGTCACCAAGATATAATAAACGGTAAGAGAAAATCATATTAAAAGACCAGTTAATATTTTCACCCGATATGACATTTAAAGCTTCAATCAAATATTTTGAGAAAACATCTTTTACTACTTATTGAAAAATAGTAGCTTAATGAGAAATACGAAACTTTCACTGAGCAGTGAAGCCCTGATGAAGTAAGTAACCGTATAAATCACAAATAGCCCATGAGTTAAACTTGTTAACTTACTGAATTTTTATCTACTTTGTACATGTAATAGATTGACGTCGGCTTGAACAATACCACGTAGCTGACACATGATTGGAAAGGGATAATGACCTGCCAAACAAAAAAACAAAAACAGCTTAGTCACCGTGATGGTTATACCAAGTTTAAAAACTAGTATGTTACAAAAACGACAGTCAACATTTAAGTGTCATGATTTATAAAAGACACGATGGTAGACAATTTTAACTATACTAAGTTATAACACTTATGCACATACTTAAAAATAGAACTAAATGACTTTTTGCATTACGTAATACGATAACAATAGGTTAACATAAATGGTTTGTCTAACACGAAGAGTTCAGAATACTGAAAAAAAAGGGAAATTACAAGACAAGTGTGAAGTTACTTTATGCTTTGTTCATACTCCCCAGTGTTTATATTAAAATATTACTAGTCAGGCGATGTGTTTGGTTTTGCATAAAGTCTAGGTTTTGAAGAATCCAAATATCAGGAAGAAACAGAAGTCCAGTACTCATTGGTCTTCAGTTATTTTAATGTTAATTTTAATTCAAGGTGAGAGCTGTTATGAAACCAAGCAGTCAAATTAGCAACGAACAAGCTCTTACCTTGTGAGTTCGTATATAACAATTAAGTTTGACTGACCTGAAATTCATAGTCAGTGAAATGAGATTGGTAGTCGGTACTCACATATCAGCTGATATACTGAATCCTTAATAATTTTCCAACCCATTAATTCACCAGATATCGTCTTTTTTGAATAATTGATCACAAACACCCTACTATTTCTTATTTCAATATAATCGGTAATTGGATTCTGCAAAACCTTGTCTTCACATAGAAACAAACAAGACTCATTCATTCACTCCTATTTCGTTTCTTCATTGATTATGATTACTAAAAACTATCAACACAAATGTTGAACTATAGGGATTACACAATCGATTAATATTTAAACTTACAAAAAAGTATTGCGATGAACGGATGAGCCATGAATAAGTGCATAGAAAGAAAACAAGCCAACGCCACATAAAATGACGTGTCGAAGCTTTTAACACTAACGTAGATTGCATGACAAAATTTGATTGCGAATAATTCACCTACATAAGATTTGAAAAATAATAATAGTAGTGATATTAACAAATATTGATGAAAAAACTAATTAATAAATAATAATGAAGTTAGTGTCAAGAATGACGATTACGAATGGAATAGTCTCAGTGGATTTCACATTTATTAACTGGAAAAAGAACACCGTTTAAGGGATAACCAAACACGTAATTAAGGAGATAAATCTTCCGAATGATGCAGTAGTAATAGCTCAACTACTTCACTTCATACCAATAGTTCAGGTATTAAGGCAGCATTTTGTATCTGGAGAGAGAATCGTATCTCAAACATGCTTGGATTGTTGTTCAAGGAGATCAGAAGACCGTATGGAACAAAACTATATCATCTGGGTATTTTAGGCTATCAAATGTATCTTCACGTAGAAAGTTGGTTTTTGGAAAAACAGATGATGATAGAATTGTCCTTAAAAGAATATCATTGATGAAGTTAGACCAAAAACGAAGTAAGTGGAAAATTTATATCAAAACCAAATGATTTTATTGATTTCGATGAAGGTTCGCCATAAGCTCCAACTCGATCAGTGTTCAAGCAGAGAGGTAATACAGGGTTGATATACATTTTAAATATGCGTTTCATTGATAGACACACATAAAACTTGTCGATCAACGAAGTCAAACTCTACCTTAAGGTCGAGAAATACAACTATGATTGGGAGTCAGTAAAACATGCCTGTGTCCCAGAATCTGGCGAATATTTAGTTTACATATGCGAGTCTATGTCTGAAACCAACTTGATTTTCTCGAGTCCGGTCTTCATGAGGCCACGATAGCTTCTGTATGATTATTGAGGATAATATATAAAACACTATTAGTCAAACTGATTCCTCTGTGGTTGTCACAAGAGGATTTCTGTCCTTAATTATAGACTGGAGCGATCAACAATTGAGACCACCTAGACGAGATGGCGTTCAGTTTCGTGGCTTTAGTTATTATCTCAGTCATTCTAGCCACTGAAAGTGGACCATTATCCATCAAGACCTCTGGGGTTAGTCTATCACTGTCTGCTGCTGTTCCTGGTTTTCTCAACCTAATTAAGGATCTAGGGACTTCTATTTACATTCTATTTAGGTTGTTTGGTAACGGTTAAGTGAAACTTAATGTATTCCACATTTTCTGAAATAGTCTAACTCTAGAATTTTGATACCTATCACCTTGATAAGGCTGGAAAGTTGTCTGTTGTTACCACCTGTCACTGCCTTTTCCATTCCTTTTTCTTTCAGAATGCACATTATCTTGATATCTGACAAACTACTTTTCGAGCTGTCCCTCAAAAACTATAATCTTGACTTTTCCGTCTCCAAGCTAAATTCCAAGCAGTTTACTTCCTGTGGCTTTTCAGCATACAGTAAGAACTAAACGAGTAAATACTCTCATTATCACAGTTTAATCATATACTTCAGAATCAGCGATACTCCACTATCGAGCCTTTCCAATTACCACTGACGGCAATATGGTTTATTTGCGTCCGTCGATGGGTGAGTTTTAGGGATCGTCATGTGGGAATGGTATCTCGAACAACATTTAAAATTGATGATTGTTAAAAATAAGTGGTTGTTTGAGCACAGTTATAGCACACGATTGCTTTTGTCTGTTTATTGAGTTGGAATACTGTGAAACATAGCTGTCACCTTGACTTACATTAGCAACTTAGGTGCTAAAATGTTCTGGTACGGCTACTACGTCTGAGGGTTTGACTTTTTGGAGGGTAGTAGAAGTCCTCCCATGAAAATTACCTTTTGCTTCATTCAAACTCCAGTCAGCATTAGAAGAGGTGAACAATAGGCAATGATGTGTTCATATCTTTCCAAGTTCTTACAGCCAGTACAGTCGGACGGTGCATTAGTAACTGACGATTGGAATCCAGTTCAGGAGAGCCTGTTCCACGATTAAACTCGATGTTATGTCTACACTAGCAAGGATATGAGAAGTTAGTCAGTCAGTAACGACGTGGCACCTTGAACGTATGTACATCGATATTAGTTGTCATGCCTCGTTAGCACAAGATGTTGGTGATAGTAATAGTATGAGTGGTGATTGAAAAGATTAGGAACAGAAGATACGATTCAAGAAAATGTAAATTTCTAAAATAAAAGAAACTGTGAGGAATTCAGAGGCTTAGAATTTGTGGGGAGACAAAGAATGGATGCACCTGAGTCACTGAAGACTATGAGGAATGCCAGTCAAGACTCCAGACACAAAGAGGGTAAGTCGAGCCGGTTTCTGCATATTAGCTAGGTGAATCAGAGTAAATGACTACAACCGGGTCTTGAGTGTATGTCTTGGAGACAGCACACCTTGATTGCACGCAGGTTCTAGTGCTCTAGCTAAGAAAGACTGCTAGTCAACTTGACGTAAGGTTCGAATATTAAAAAGTTCAACATGTAGTTTAGAGTGCTGTTTCAACAGACCATGAACAATATTTAGTGAACTACAGTCGTTAGCATTGGAGAAACATGGTGAAAAAGACAAAGTTATAAGAGAAGGGTCGACAGCGGAGAAACAAAGTATGTTAAAGGTGAAGGGATTTTGTCACAAATAAGAGGATGTGAAGGCCAGTTGCAGATATGGAGGCTGTTATCTTACTCTTGTTACCCTCACTGTGAAAGGATATATCTTCGAAAAGGATCTGAAGAGGGAACTGGATTAGTAGTGGGAGAGTGACTGCTGAGTCTAATAAACAGCTGTTTAAGGCCATTAACATACATCCTTTTTGTGAGAAATATTTGATGTATTAGCTCAATACTTTTAAAGCCTTACTGTTGGAGATGGAAATCTGTAGGATAAGATGGAGTGTGACATTTTTAGGCTGAACTTTTCTTAACCCTTCGTTCGTAGAATTGTTGTAGATGATAGTTTACATATACTACTGTATATTGTGTGAGCAATATAATGTAACTTCATAGAGGAATTATGTGAAACAAGTTTAGGACATATTAATGACAAACTTACATGGTCAGTACTGCTCTTGGGTGGGAGTAAAGGGTCTCGGTAACGATGATCAGGTGAATTTAAAATATTTGAAAAGTCTGTATTTGATGCTACAATGTTATCAGTAAAGAAGTCACCATGAGACGAGAAATTATCACCTTTATTGGTCTTGGACGTATTCATAGCAAAAGAACTGCGCGGAAATCGGTACATCAAAGGAATAACTTCAGTTGTACAATTCTGAGTTTTGTTTCTTTTGATATGTTGCTTAATTGTAGGTAGTTTATCAGGAGAATCTTTATCAGAATCATAGCTGACCAATATTGTATCTACAAGTTGATAAGGATTTGATAAGCTAAAGTCCTCACGATATACATAAACATTACGAAGACAGCGTCGTGAAACTTGAAAAATGAACTCTTCATCTGGAAATCTGGCGCTTTTAAATATTTGATCGCGTAGGAAACATTCACGCTAAGAAAAATAAATCCGAAAGAGAAAAAGTTGTAAATAAGATAAAATAAAACACCAGTGACACACGGATATTAAATTCGATAGTAACTTTCATTATAAAAATGTTTTATTAGACCATTGGAACATTTTCGAAGAAATGACTATTAGCTTATTTGGAATGGAATGGAACATTTTTTCACTAAACAAAATCCAAGGTAAAGGTAATTGTTTGATCCCTTCTCACACTAAAAAATTAGCACAAATTAACACCGGGTAACTAGTCTTTATTGGTAACTAATATTAAGTGGTACAAATTAAGACAACCCGGAGAAGTAGAAAAATAATCACAGTTTTTAATATCAGTGGACTGAAACGCTAGCAAAAGTAACAACGTGAGTCAGACAGAAAAATGTTTAAAGACAAACACACAAGAACGTGATTTGGTCATATGATCTGGTAAAAAACTGATTTTACTTGTGATAAACAAAATCGTTAACAGATTGGATAGTGACTTCCAATCCCTAACAAACGTGATGTTAAGACCGCACTAATAGAATCAGACAAGTGTGTCCGAAATCCAATGTTTTAGATTGAATATGAACAAAATATCATAAAAAAAAGTGATACCCAGAGGGTCTAGATCCATAAAAGTTCAGACAGGTTTGCCTGTTCGAAAAGCCTACTATTATGTGATATAGTAAAAATAACAATGTTATAAAGTTATAATTACCAACCAGGCGTTCAATACCAACGACAGAATCACATAAGCAGTGAGAAAAATGATTTACAACATTGCTTTGACAGCAAACAATTAAAAAATAACGAATCAAAACACTTTGAGATGCTCACTTTGATGTAAGTGTGTAGAATAAATAGATAACCATAGAAACGTTGAATTATAATTAAACAAAAGTTCATCATGCAATATCGAAAACATTGTAAAAATATTTACAACATGATGAAGTAAATATTACCTTCAGATTATTTCGTCAAAAATGCAAGCCGCTCATAAATTTAGTGAGGTTTTAAAGAAAATAATTGAAAAAAGCTGTAATTGTAATCTGTCCCCAAAGCATACTATGGAAAAATAACAAAGAAAAACTAGAACTAAACGAAACCGATTTGTTTCTTCTTATTAAAGAAAGTAAATATACACAAAGTGACATCAACTAATAGTTCCATCAGATTAACTTAAAATGAAGAACCGTATAATGAATTTTAGGACAATTTCTACCCCCAAAAAAGTGATTAACAGAAATTAATAAACATCACCACTGCTTACATCTTTTAAAAATGCTAAATCACGGCCAATTAAAAAAGCATAAGATTCTAAACCATTTGAAATGCATTTCGATAAAACGTATTCATGAATGTCCAACTTATGCTCCTAGTATAAAATGTAGAAGGAATCAAAAAAATAACAATAAAAAGGAATTCAGAGAAAACAATCATATTCGTTGATTAAATAAAAAGGAATCAAATCATGCTTCATGTATGAAATGCTGCTGGAAAAGGACCAATTCTCGTCATTATAAACATAATTTACACACTATTACATTTGAAACTGTTTTGAACCTGGATGATAGAGAAGCAGAGTTAACAGTATTGAGAAAAATATGCTAACTTATGTTATAATATTTATTTCACATAAAATTCCGAGAATCGGTTTCGTAATAACTGGCACTGACTACCAGGGTGCTAATGCAAAATTAAAGAAACTAACTTGCATTAAACAAAATAAAACTCAATCTCAAGTGTAAATCACACCAGTAAATCAATAAAATGCGATTAACAATAAGAACAGTAACATTGTTTTGGTTTAACTCTGATAATCAAAACATACAAGTAAACGAAAAAACACATCGTGTTTGTGTGTTTGACGGTACGATTTGCAGAAATATTGTTGTAATATATTCAATTAGTGAGAATGTACACACGTTTACCGACTCAAAGTGACTTTAAAGCCATCTTCATATACAATAAACAAGTTTATTGAGCGTAGTTTATTTCATACATAATAGTATCATCTAAGAAAAACCAGTGAACAAAAAGCCCCGATTTTCTTTTTGAAAAGTAGTAATACCTTCAAACCATTGATAAAATAAGAAATCAGGTTTCATTTCAATTGCAGTATTTGTAAATCATCCCGATTACAACCAGAACTTAATTATATTCAAGCTCAATGCTAGTCGGTGGAGTGGTGATTCAGCATGATCATGCACTGGTAGAAAGAATGATATCAATCGACTTTGAAAAATTTCATTTTCATTATTGTCACAAAGGTGGCTTTGCGATACGATATCTCCTGTATAGGCTCAATGCTAACAACAGTTACTACGTCAAAGACTGAAAGTTCCTGAGAGGGAAAAATGATGATCAACAGATTTCCATCTTTTATGTACATAAGTTTATATTGTTATTTTCATCATGTAAACAATTCGGCAGTATTCTATCTAACACATTTTGTACATATTTTTGAACATGAAACGACTTTTTCATAAAATCATTGAGTGAAATTATTAAGCTATTTAAAATACAAAACCTGACAGGCAAAAACATACAGTTAATATAAGGGATCATATATTGGTACATCAATTTACTTGAAGGTATTCCGCCTTTGCATAATACCACTGTTTTGAACGCCATTTAGGAATATTAAATAAAACAGGATTGTTTAATTTTAAGTTTCGTTCATACGACTGACAGTATGACAGCCAATTTTGCATAAATAGTTCTTTAGCTTCTGTCACAATTAACTTGAATTTCGCTTCTTGAATTAATGGTTCAGCTGAATCAAAACAAGAAAACGTTTTCATTATGTCACAGTGATTACAGAGTATTTAAGAAAATAAGAGAATGACAATCTCACGATTCCAATATGTTGACAATTTAAACTTATATATACAGAACATAATGTTTTATTAAGTACTTTTGACATAGCAAGATCGCTTGAAAAATCGTACCATCCCATATCCATGTATATTAGAGTTTACTGCTATCCAGAGAAAACTGAAGGATTCAATGGCAAAGGAATCATGCATAAAAAACCACGGGAATGCACATTCAAGTCTTAATAATATTAATAGGAAAAACGAAGCATTCTAAAAGCAGAACACCGGAACAAATTCAAAATCATGCATTATCAGGAATCAATATAGAACGACATGTATACTTCGAAAGCGGTGATGTATATGGGTGTTAAGTGTATTAATATATAACCTATTGAGTAGAGTGCTAATCAGCAAAATCTAAGAGTCCGAAAAGATACAAATTAAAGTGTATTACCTATCCCTGGACTAATTTCATGCAACGCTTCACTTTGACGAATGGCATCAAATAGTCGTATTGCATACTGTTTCATACCATCCAGTAAAACTAACTGAAAGACAGAAAAGAAATACGAAAAAGAAAAACAATGGAATTATTAACAGAACACAACAGCAAACAAATTAGAAATTTTGATATGCCTTAAATAACTAAAAATAGTAACCAACAACAAGAATCTTAGTTACATTCCCAGCAGAAATAGGAATATTGATTAAAGAAAACGATCGTAACTAGCTAATCGGAACAAAATAGATGAAAGGAGATATGTAAATGAATTGACATCAGTTCCATACATATCTCAGGCAACAATAGAATGGGTGATATTGAAAAATCATCAGTACACCCGGACTCGAGTATCATTTACAGTGCAGTATAAAGTTATACCAATTTGGGTTAGCAAATATAAACTCATAGGTACATTTGGTAGAATGAAATGGTAGAATTCAATGGATGAAAATTCTTTATAAATGTAGTAATATTGACATATGTATCTACTATCCAACATTAAGCATATCAGATTCCTGATGAATAATCTCTGAACATAAATTTTCGAGGTTGAATAAATGTGAGCAGACAAAAGATTTCCGTCAAATTAGGGCTGATAAAATCTACGACACCCTTAACCAAATTAATAAAATTTAATTTTCCGCAAATACAATACTAAATACAACTCTAAATCAGGATCTGACCATAAAACGGAGAGAGATATTTTGCACTATGGACTAAATAAACTACTAGAAACTACGATAAAGCAAATAATTATGGTATCTGTACGATTTCGGTTCACTTTTAGAGTAAAAATAAATTACAGCTCCAAACTAACATAACGAACATCTTACTCTTATGACGTGAACCCGAAGTGCAATCTTCTCCTCTGTAAACACTAATTACACCATAAATTCCCAATTATTCTCAGAATGATTGACAGTCAACTCTTTAAATTACTAAAACTGTGGTATATTGGAACCTTAAATGCATAATAAGGCAGGAGACGAAGTACATTGTGATTGTCAGTATGGGGATTTCCCATGGTGGTCTAACATCAATCGGTTCATGACCTCAATCAAAAACTTAATAATCTCCACAACCTCTATACTGATAATTAACATGTTCTCACTAGTGAATAGCTTCGTGAGGAAATTCTCGGAGTTCTAGTGAGAAGCCGTGACCAGTGGAGCTAATCTGTGTCGGGTAGAGACAGGTATCTACCTCAGTACAATGGAAGATGGTCGCGCAATTTCGTGGATTGGTTGATGTTAAACACTAACACCATTAGATGCCAGTTCAGTGGTCCAGTAGGTCAAGTGTTCGCGCGCGAGAGTGAAGACCCTAAGTTCGAATACCGCAAGCCGGATCGTGGATTCGCACTGCTGAGGAATCCCACAATAGGACGAAACGGCCGTCCAGTGCTTCCAGGTTTCCAATGGTGGTCTAACACCAATCGGTTCATGATTTCAATCAAATACATTGTGATTATTCAATCTTTGAAAGTTATAATAGCTCTACGACATGATACATAATTGAGATCATATAATTTACCGATGATTATAACAGATAAGAACAGCTTAATTCAATTAATAATTAACTAATAATTTAATCTATCTCATTTATTATTTAAAGTAGAACACTGTAATAATTTCCTTAGTGAATAACACTTTCTTTTTTTTCATTGTAAGGTAACAGAATGAATCATCATAATAAGAACTGTCTTTTTCATGAATAGATAAACATAACAAATTACACGTTATTCAACTAAGTGATTTGATTTACGCTTTAATACAGTTCTTATTAATTATACACAACTTAAATGTAAATAAACACTTTATTAGACCATAATAAATAATAGACATTACAAATAACAAAATCAATTATATCCATTAGCTTCAAATTAATAACAATCCTAAATGCTTCGACAAAACTCATTTGCAAAACTATTCAGTATGTTTATAGAATGTGAATATGTAACATTAATTTCATCTCTTGATATATTTCATATACAATGTTATTCGTTAAAAATAATTGTGTTATAATGGTTATATAATATAACTATTCTGTATAGTAATGGCGAATTGATGTAAATCAGTCTCATCTAACTATCTTGCCCTATACTAATCATTTCGAAAATATCATGAAATGACTAGCCAAACAACTACTATTGAAAACCAGGGGTAACTATCTCGTCCTAGTACGAGACACTTCAGTAAGGCTAGTAGCGAGCGTGTTAACTACAGATCGCTGATTTAACATTGAATGTAAAACATTATCATATTTTTTTTATTTAAGTCGATTAGTCATGTAAACTATCTTCACAAAGTTGACATCTTATTAATAACGATTTCACTCAAGAACTATGATAGTAACGAAATACACTATCTTGTAATTATTTTGTATGATAAATAAGACTTTAAATGTCTATCCAAAAAAAATCGATTGCTGTGAAAACAGAATAAGGTTTTCTTTATTTATCCACCTAGTATTCTTTATTAGGTGGATAAATAAGTTAAAATTTGTATCCTAATCTGAAAGTACGTACTGGAATAAGAAATATCCATCCCATGGTTAGACATATGAACTTGAAATAACGATTGAAAATTAACGATTGTCTTACTTTATAGATTTCAAGGAGAGCATTTCATTTTCACTGTATTTAGATAGATTTATGAATTCTTAAATATCACTGAACAGATTTAGAGTAGCATCTTTTAGATTTATACACTTTAAACAGAAACTTCTTTTGTATCAAACAGTACACTTTGTTATACAAACGAAAAGAAATAAAGAGCTGAATATCAGGAAAAAATTGAATATGATTCATGCTATATGGAGAAAATTCTCACAGTGTCTTATGTTTGCGAAATATGATAATACCTCTCCACAAACCCATAACTTTGAGCCTTAAAACTATTCTTAAGATGGCCGAATTCCGTCTACAAGAACTACCTGGATAGACAGATAGCTGAATTTTATAATTGCCACTTATTACGACAGTTTTTATTACATTATTTTACCCTTAAATTATACAATTACTCTTATATAGCCCACAGGAAATTACTTAAAATATATCATTCCTTTCATCCATTAGAGTGTTCGACGAGGAAGATTTAATGCATTCTTACAGTATATTTTGAGTAATCAGATTACATCTGATCTTTCTTTCAAAAAAATTAAAGACGAAAATGGAATAAAGACAAACTACATAATATTGCTAGTAGGACATGCAAAGCCAAATTAACAAAATAAACCTTTTCGTTTGGATGAAATTTTGAAAGGAAACTATAAATGCAGATTCAGCATGAGAATATTAAATTTAACACATTAAATGAATCCACATTTATGTATGGCTACAGCATAAATAAAATTAAATATACGGAATACTAATAATAAACAACGACTTTAACGACATTGTATTATGATTTATCGGCTTGCTCATAGCTGATTATTGCCATTAACTACTGGTGGTTATCTGAGCTCACTGGCCTTATTCAGACACAAGAATGGCAAATCACAACAGTGATATAGACCTTAACAACTGGGAAAAAAATCTCTTCAAGTGCCATAAGATTGATATGGTTGAAAGTACTAAGCCTCATTTGCAACCAACATTCACAAACTATGTGAAAATACGAACATAATTATACACCACATATATGTTCTAATATAACATTCGACTCCATTTCAGAACATGCATTTCGCAATAGAAAATACATTCCAAAGTAGTGATAGGATCTAATAACAGTGAATAAACGTTTATTTGGAACTTTCTATCATAAGTTTCTTTTTTCTACAAAACACTGCAATAAGTATAAACGAAATATAAATTATCCTGTCTGTTAGATAAATATAACAATGATTAATTAAAATTTCACATCCAAAGTATTCACTTGTACTTATGCCTACCTCATCAAGAAGTGATCGTGCAATCAAATAAAACGAGCTAATTTAATTTGATATATATACCAAGTTGGTTCGATTTTTGACTTGAAAAAGGCAGTAGCCAAAAAATTCTGTGTTTGATTATAATAGAGAGATAATTAAAACTAAATCGAAATTGAACTGATCTTCACGACTAATCAACGTAATAATCGTAGACTCATTGGTGGCTAACGTGGAAATGAATCTCCGAAATTGCACTAAGAAGCTATGACTAGCAGAGATAAACAACGTCGATGACACTAGATGATCGTTGCGCTTCATCACGAAATGAATAAAAGTGGGAATACGGATCACAGAATCCCATTGCTCTTAAATTAACGCGTTCACAGAAAGACCTGAGGGTTCATGGTTCAACTATTGATTGAGTTATGGATGTACACTCCACAGAATTCCCAAACCAAAACAGAATACCTCTCCAGTGGTCTCTAAGTTTCAACAGTTTTCAAAATGAACTTAGTCTGTGATCCAATTCATCTAGGAATTATAATAGTAGTTATAATATGGAAATCATTATCAGTTATGTTTACGTTATCATGATAATCCTTACCACTAAGATTTTTGGTGCTTATTAAAATAACAATGAAAATCTCATGTTAACACTACTTACCCTTTTAACTTCAGATACTGATTTCTTTTCATCTACAGAGTAAAATTACAATAAATGACAATTCTGAGAACATTATAATTTAACTTCATAAAACAAAATTATAAATTGACAAAGACTATTCGACAAGTAAATGGCTGTCTGGTGAAGGCGATGGAACATGACGTAGCTAAAGAAAGAATCCACGAGACTACAAGAATATACTGTGAAACAATAATTGCGAAATTGTATATAATGTCAGCTACTAGCTGATTCACAGTAGTTTGAGCATCGGATAACTGATCCACTTTTACGTGTCTGACTTTGGTCAGTTGGCTTAGTTATAACAGGAATTTAACTATTCACGTCACCATCTTTCATAAAGGAATAAAATTTTGCGGACATTTTTGCTATCCTGAACAAATCAGCTTCTTTAAACTAGGAGAGCACAAATACACTGGTGGTAAACCTGGTTCACTGTGACCTATATAACTTTGTCTATCCTAAATTACTTTACTGCTTGAAAATGTATTTACGTTTTTACTAAACAAAACACAATTGATTAGTGAGACAACAACAAAAGTGAAAGAAAAGTTTATAAAGGAATGTCTAAAAATAATATTTAACAAAAGCCATTACTGGCAGGTTAAATCAAGTGCACAGTTTAAATAAATATTTCATAAATACTAAAAACAAGATAAAACAAGTAACAATATTCATGATAGGCAGAAACAAATGCGCACATAACCGTACTTCTAACGATGCTGATGAAAACAGATCGAAATTAAGTGTTGTATCTCAAACCTTTTGAAAAATTTACTATTTGTATTGAATAAAAGTTTTGTGTGAATAGCTTGAAAGTCATACGTATAAATATTTTACGAAACCAAGGTGATCGATATATCAGTAGACTTTCGAAGTAATACCTAACCGATATGAAAGCGCAGATTGCACTGATCAACAATTATGACAGCTACCCTCCCTCTTCGATTCACCGACACATTGAAATATCAAAGGATAACACGTGGGATGTGAATACAAGGAACTATTACTTAGTAAGATTAGAACCCCTTAGAAATATCTTAAACCAGATTGACACTATAGTGGGGAATCACTTGAATCAATCACGTCAATCAACCTAGTAACAAGATGCACTAACTAGCAAGATTAATTCATATCACATAGCAGCATGAATCAAAATCTGAAGAAGAGGAACTAATTCAACATTATAAACCAATAACGTCTAATTAGACCATTTCCTATCGCTAAGTAGTGATTTGGTGTTAACAAATAAGTTATTAAACATTGATCTAATCTTCATGTTGGGACTCAACAAGAAGGGTGGAATCATTCCGTATGTTATCTTTTAATAAGGAACATTTAAAACTGGTTTTAACAATACATATACAATTTTAGTTAGCTTGATTTCTAATTAAATATCTGAAGAATAATTCACAATTATTATTTAACATCAGTTGTATAAAAAAATATTCGAGTTAACTGAAGATAAATGTGAATTGAAGCTGGCAACTTTTTTTCACATTTGTTTTTCATTTGATGAAGTCAATAACATTTTCATAACTTAACAAATAGAACTAATAACTACATTTTCTCTGAAGTCTGAAATTTTAACATTGCACTAGTCTACACCAACAATATTTAAACATCAACTGTGATGAAGTTAATTTCTTGGCTCTTTGTCTATTGTGTATGAAGACAAAATAAAGCAATTTTAAATGAAAATGAATGGAGAATTGTATTTCATGTTACATGCATCTTTATTTCTGTAAACAGCAAAATATATCATACGAGTAATTGACAGTTTTTAAGACAGAAATAAGACTTGATATAAAGTAAATTATAGTTCACATGAAATGCAAATACAAAATCTGAAGCTTAAAACTCAATTCCGATGTAAGTATTAAAGATCGAAAAATGGAAGGTATTTTCTTGGAAATACAAACTTCAAATAAAAATAGTTTAACAGTGGTATTTTCAAATAAAGTGAAAAGAACAAGATTTTTTGGAGTAACATAAATTCACTACAGTTCAAGGCTTCTCATCAGCTACAAATGCGGCCTAAACTTCCATTGTAAAAGTATTATAAAATGTTTTCAACATCGTAGTTTAGTTCGAAACAACATGAGAAACAAGAAGAGGAAGAAGAACATTTAACATAATAGTTAAGATTAATTAGTATTCATATGTTAAAGGTGAACTCATATAAGAAAGGGGGGTGAAGTTATAGACCATAATAAAGAGACTGAATAAAAACGAATTAATGAAAATCAAGGCAACTAGTTGACATGAAATTAAGGTTAACGTCGTGAGTGAATGTCTGTGGAATTTGTCTTACTTTAAGTTATAAAGTATAATGGAGAGATAATGTAATTAACAAACATCAAAATAATGGAACCACCTTAAAATGGTAATAAAAGGTTTATCACAACTTTATCCTGTATACAAAGGTCGGGTCGGAAGCACCTGATGGCAATGACCTCTGCGAAGCGGAGTAAAAGTATTCATTGTATTTTTGATAATATTCAGCGCTTTTGTTACCATTATGAATTAAATGTTTAGTGATCTCATTTATGAATAATTCTTTCCAAAAAAAGCTTTCGCGGAATATAATCAGCAAATCGTGCAGATGTCCCTCTTTCAGTCTTTCTTATATACCTCCTTCCGTAAGCACATGTACATCTGTAAATACATTTGGAGTTGACCTCACAAGGGTATCGATCCACAGAGATTAGTTTAGGGACATTTGGTATTATACACTAAAAATAGTTGGGCTGCAGGAAGGCCTATTTTCAGCGCTAATTCAATTGTTTTGACGATTTTACCTGAAACCTCCCCAGCTTTCTTTAACCACAAGATAGATGAAAACAAGCTTTTTGTCAACAGTTGTTTGTTTGTAACTTTTCGCAAACATTTTTTACGCACTTCATAATAAATTTCTTTTCATGTTCAATATATCATATTTCCTGAATTTTTTCGACTAAATACAAGCTTCTACCTCTGTTAAACAGGTTTTTATTTAAACTGCGTTTGTAAGTAACAGGCGAAAATCAGTCATAATTCAGGTACTACCTCAACCATATTTCTTTCCTGAGTATGGTCCAGTCGGTTGATTTATTGCTCCGTCGTTCTATTTCTGACGAATCTGTTAAGTATATAGTGGAGTGTTGAAGTCGCAGAAGATTTCAATAAGAAATTTCGATCTCAAGAATCCATCGCTTATTTGACGCACGGAATCAAATCAGCCTATTAAAACATTTGAAAATAAATCAACAGTTAACTCCAAGTGTGCTCTAGTGTTCCCGATTCGCTTGACGCTGCTCCAAATTTTTGAAACTAATGCTAGTAAACTAATTCCATTATGAACTTTAAAAAATTTACGAAAACTGATATCTCACCCAAACTTTGTACTTGTTACTAATGTTAATTATTTTAGTCACTTTTTTATTTCTATATACCTTTAAAGTCCGATGAAATTGTAATTTTATTGAAATCACGAACTGATTTAAGTTAGACAACCACTGAATATTAGGAAGCACTGGACAGGAATATTCATTGTGAGAAGCCGTGACCGATGGAGACCGACCGTATTGATTGTGAGGAAGATACTTTCTGATGATGTAAGATCGTGCAATACCGTGAACTGGAGCCAGATTTGCACAACATTGGATAACGGATAATTGGTCTAAAGGTTAATCGTTCATAAACGAGATCGAAGGTCCTGAGGTCGAGTCCCAGTTGTGGAATTGTGGATGCGCAACGCAGAGTCCCACACTAGGACGAAACAGCTGTCCAGTGCTTCAGGGTTTCCAACGGTTGCCTAACATAGATCGGTTTGTACTGCCAATGAAATTCAGGAACTTTCACAACCCCATACTAATGGATATTATACCTGTTGTTGTAAATGATATTGTTTATTGTCCTTTTATCATTGTTTTTTCACCTTTTGTGTGAATAAATAAATATTCTATTAATGACCCAATTTCCTAACATATTATGTCCAAGACGTGAACTCTGCATCTGGAAAATCCCAAGTGTCGTTATAATTATACAATGAATAAACAACTATTTGCTCACGTCATGAAAGTAAATGAAACCAACTTAATATAAAACCAAATCAGATAAACGGGAATAAGCATTACTGCCCCAGTTGGGATGCTCGTGAGCAAAGGGCTCACCACTTTGATTGCTCCGGCTAACCATTTAAAATGACGACGGATGAAATATGTAACTTTACTTGCTTTGTAAATATTCTTGAAGTTCATCATGTCCAAATGGCAGGAGCAATAGTTGTTTAGACTAAAAACAACCAAAGCTATGCATCCAGAGGAAATGCATTCAGTCTCTTTTTTGCCGTAGTTAACCTCAGGTCCAACAAAGACAATGGTCATTTTAGTTATATGATTACTCTATTTGACCAAGCTACATATATTTTCAAACCTTAAATTTCTTTTATGCAACTACTATTTTTAGTGGCACTGTTATCCCACACTTTTTTTGTTTATTATTATTATTATTATTATTATTATTATTATTATTATTATTATTATTATTAACCTTGTACACACACCGAGAATTCAATAAGGACTCACTCCACTTTACTATTTCCTAACCAGTTCATATCATTTGATACATTATGAAATATTCAAGCAAACACTTGATCTGACTTAGACACTCTTAGGTTGTCAATAATTGTTCTGATTGATAACCTCACAATTTCGTTTAACCTATAAAGTTAATCAAGTTAGTATTGCATACCAGCCATTTCGGAATTTTATCTACATTCATTTTGACTATTATTCTCATAATTCCAATTGACCCGTAAGGTTAGCTGAATTGACATTTCACATTAATCATTTCAATTTTCGGATAATTCAATAAGATGAGGATTGTCAAAACTGTGTGATATATCACATAGTTTCGATAAACTTCGTCTTTTTATTACATTATCTAAATTGAGAAAAAGGACTAATTATTTTACATTTCAATATTGACATTTTTATTGTTTCTTACAAACAATTCTAAGTTCGAAAGCTGTAATTTTAAAAGATCAGTTTGCCTTAAACTTGGCTATCCCCTTTGCAACATTAACTTGGACTTGTAACTATAGAAACTAATGAGCGATTATAGAAAGGAATATCTTTGGTTAAATAAAATGGAAATTTCTAGACTTTTAGAATGAACAGATGTAAGCTTCACATATTGTTTTAGACTACGGACACAGTCAGTGGTAAAGAAAATACAAAAAAACTTAAATACACAGCGTAAAAGACGACATATTCCTTGGCTGAGGTTACTAAAACAAATATCAAATACACCCACCATCTCATGGAATCCACTGATGGGCAATTAAAAAGAGAAGTAAAGGTTAAATGATTGGAAAACAACCAGACTATATTCAGCAACAGATAACTACTACTAATTAAAAACAGGTCAGAAGTGTATAAAGAATTATCCCCTAACAATGATATACCACAATAAATTGATTAACGTGAGAACAGTTTACACAAACCCACTTCAACCGAAGAACTTGAAATCAAAGAGCACTTGAGACGTGTTAGATACTAGTTTGAAACTTTTAAAAGAGGTTAATCTCTTATATTTTTACTTGATCAAACTTACAAAATATGACATCAGGACACAAATCATGTTTGAAAACACTTATATATCCAGAATCACTTTCAAGAGTTCTGCTTAAATTATTACACTAGCTAAAAGGTCTTTCAATTCATACAAAATATAAATCATTTTCATTTTTTAAGCTATAAACTGTACTCCACAAAATCATTAAATATTTGCATTACCTCTAAACTGTGAGACAGAATATTCTTTAAAATCTTGGAACCAATCTCCTCGCACTGAATTCTCCAAATCTCCAATCACATGTAAACAGCGTTCAAGCAGAACGGGATCATGAAGACGAAGATCAACTGAGACACGATTTGGTGTTAAAAATCGATACGGTAACGGAATGTTTTCTGGAATTTCCTATGGTACAAGCCAAATAAGTGAATGGAGGAAACATGCATATATGTATATAATTATTATCAAACGTTCTAAAGTTATCGCCATGATATATATATATAAAACTCTTAACGGTGTCATATAATGGATCGCACTTTTACGAAAGGGAGTAAAAATAATTTTTTTAGATAAAATTAGAAAATTCATTTTTAAAGCAGAAGCTATTAGGTAGTATTGCCGAAAAAAATGGATTAATCACAAACAGAAGAACGCTAAACTAAGATGGACAAATGAATCAGAACCAGTAGAGAAATTTATAGGGATGTATTATTTCTAGTTGTACATCAGTTAACATACAGGGAATTGTTAAAATCTTTGAGGTATGGACCTCAAGACAAAATGCTTCTTAAATCTAGAGAGAATTACATCTTCGATCTATTTAGTCATTACACTACACATAATTCATCATAAGTAGACTCACTTGTAGATGAAGTACACGTGTATTTCGCCCGATGCAAGACCCGTTACTTGGTTATAGCTCCAAACTAGTGAGTCACATATTCCAAAAATATGTATGTAAGAAAAGACTAAATAAAGACAACCATACAAAGATTTCATATATCGCGGTAGGAAATCTTCAGTTTTACTAAACCTAATCAACCACCTGTTTAATATCTTATTCAATATGTAAAATAACGTGCTTGTAGAAAACTGAAACTGTTTACCTCATTTATTTATTTTAGAGGAACTATTCAAATCTGTTTCAAAAGTAACACATCTTCATATGCACAATACACATGAATAAGGAACGGAATCGAGATTATTTAGTATATATCAGTAAACTATTCTATATTTCATAACACCGAGCAGCTATAATTTAGTATCCCGAAAGTAAAACATTCGTATGTTACACTGTTTAAGTGAGATCATGTTCCTTCAAAAAAAAGGATGTTGTTTTTCTTTGAGTTTTTTTTTTTTACTGGAAACATTTTACAGCTAATCCACCTCATTTAGATTTAAGAAAACACAAAATGTTTTCTTTTTCATCCGATGAAAAAAGAAATGTATACCATACAGACCACAAGCTAATTCAAGGTTCTATGATAAGTTATTTGTTATGAAAGTTTTTATTTTACTTTGGTCTGTTCGTACATCAGTGGTTTTAAAAGATTTAAAAATCAAGTACAATCAAAATCTTTACGTTAATTATTAAATGAACAAACATTTCAAGCAAAGTGGGTAATACATCATTCATTACACTTAAAGATTGGAAATAATTCTCAGCAATCATTAATGATGGTATGATATAATTCAGGCAGTGTGACTGAAAGATCACCCACTGTTAGCTGTAATGATATATATATCTATAGCGAAGTCCAAAATACGAATAATGGAAGATACTTCTGACACGATACTGGATTTTACGTGACTGAATAGATCGACGTCTAATGCATAACGACATTTTAACGATGAAAATCGTATATCAGTAAAGTTAGAGAAGACAAGACTTTAAAAGAGAACTTTTATGAACCAAGAAAAGACGAACAAGTGAACATCACGGTATATGTGGTAGGAGACAAGATAAAATACTCAACAGAGTGAGGTGTCACGCGTGGAACACCGGGGCGCGAAAGGTCATTACTGTGCTAACCTCAACAGATGATTATAATAATAATTCATTGGATCAATGCCAAAACTAACCGATCTAATTAGTACAAAAACTGATATTTGTCGGCTGACATTTTTCTACCACAGCAGTCACAATCGTTGGTCTTGGACGGATAAGTCCTAACGAAGGAACTTAATGGAAAACCAATTAACAATGAGAAATTTCGACTCAGACCATTTGATTTGTACACCATACAAATAAAATAACTAAGATCGGTTATCTTAAATTGTAAAGATAAAAACTAAACTTCGTACTGGGGAATAATAACAATAAAATTTTCAAATGAATCCAATATGTTTTACTGTCCATATTTTGCGTTTATTTTAAGTAGTATACGAATCTGTTCAAGCATACATCAATTCAATTACTTATTTTCTTATAGTTTTGAGTGATTTCAGATGAATAGAATTATTTCAAGAGAATTTAATTCAAAATAAAAGTGAAGTATTAACAAAACGATGATGTTCATGACTTCTGTTAACCGAAAAAATCATTTACCCATTTTATTGATCGCCTAATTGACCAAATTACATAAACAAGGTTACAGGCATTCACATACACACCGGTTTTGTGCATACATGTACCATCATGACGATGACTACGACAACAATGACAACAAAGATAAAATTGACCAGTTATTTGATATAATCCCCTAGAATAGCTAAAAATTTAGTTTTTTTTAATTATCTAGTCATTCTCGCGAAATTTCTATCGATCAACTAATGTGGTAACAAACAACCCGATTGCTTTTTCCTGACTTTAAGACTGGAAAAACTGAACGGTAAGCCTGATCACATAATCAGCCATTAGTTAGTGTGAAATAACGAGATGAAAATTTATTTTTTGATTAAAAAGCACAAACTTAGGTTATTGCAACAGTAAGAAGACATATTCAGTATGATACAGGAAACTAGTAATATTATTTATTTACATCAATTAACTGCCCATTAATTTACATTGTGTACATGAGAATGAATTATTAAATAGCTTATAATTTAACAACAATCTCTTAAAGTTAGAACTAATGATTGCAAGAAGATAGCTTTTTACCAAAAAGATGACCATAGAATACTGAGAAAATAGACCTTGTTGAGGAATCTGATTGTTAAGAAATATCTGTTAATATCGCTATTTCTACAACTTGACAAAGTTAATAAACATTAGCAACTCACCACATGAATGCTGAAATAATGGTACTAGGTGAAATTCGAATATGGATGGGAAACAGTTCACCTATAATAATAGGTTTTGCAAGGAAATAAGATGCAAAGTAATCAGTACATTGTTAGTATTCCTGATGTAGAATCCGGTCATCCACTATGGTATACATGGACGAGTGTTTATGCTTGCTATGCCTTGAATGCACAAGCATTATCGCTTTTTATCTCACGTTGAATATCATGGTCTCTCAATGTTTCCTTCGTAAATACAAGCTGATTTCAAAAAATTTAAAATGTATGCGAATATATGAAGTCACCCGTTTTATTTAACAATGGGAATACAACCCCTATCTTAAATATGAAAGTTTCCAGAACAAAATAAGTGCTTTTCTTAGAACAGATAGGCACATATAACCCTTATCCGGACAACAGTAATAAATAGCCATTTCTGAAGTCTCATAACTTATAGATACCCAAATTAAGTTTGCCTTTGAATAATCTATACGTGATTTTGCTTCCACCCTTATGAGCATTTCGTTCTACCAATAGTTTTCAGTCCTATGTGTATGTGATTGATCAGGTAAGCAACGTGAAGGTCAAGAAATATAATCAGATTGTCCCAACTACGTAATAAGGGCACAGAAAATATTCCAAGTCTTTATAAGTGAATTACATAGTCTGTAAAAAATGAAACAATGAATAAAAAGATTATGGAAGCGGGATTTGATAAAATTTCTTGCTTTATTATCACTCAAAATTCACCACTCCGTACATAAACCAACAACCAACAGTGCGGAAATTCGTACTTTTGCTCCTAATCTGAGTTAAATGCACGATTAAAAAGTAACTATTAAGTGCAAAGGAATTTTAGGTTAAAGTATAATAGCGTTCGTTGTAATAAATGCTAATGCTTGAATAAAGGCGTTATATTACTCTGTCGCCATCAAAATTGTGAAAGGTCAATTTTTAAGCAGTTAACAATGGTCTAAAATCCACCCACTAAGTCAGCACAAATTTCTGCTGCATCATCTAAGAGTTTAGGGTTAGAACAAAATCCTGTGCGACGATTAATATACTTTCAACAAAATTCTAGATTTTGATATGGTCTTTCTGCAATGCCATCATAACCATCTGAAAATATTCAGAAATTCTGAACTAAAGCTGAAATATTATCATATCAAAAACAATATTTACCTATCCCTGCTGACGTGATTAAACAATAGTAATTTAGATCAAAACATTTTAAAAAAAGTATTAGCATTATGACTCACCTCACACTTTCCAAAAGGTAATTTACTTAGATGTTCGCAGATACTCCAAAAGTCTAGTACTTTTTTCTTTTGACTAGACTATAAAAATAACAGAATTTTTAAAAACTTAGTGCTAGATATGGTATTGAGCATTAGAAATAAAGTGCCTACTAAATGATCACGTAATAAAAGTTTATGTACTCAAAACTCATACTGAAATTGTTGAATGAACATCATTTCTAGAAAGATGAATCGCAAGACAGAGCTTTAAGGCGATTTGTTAAATTAAATAAACTTGTTACTCCTTATGAATCACAGATCGCCAAGGAAAAATCTCCAACCAACTCTGTCCTGGGCTTCTATTTCTGTTTGTTGCTAAGTGCTATTCATCCTTTAGATGTTTTCTTCCAATTCCCTACGGCATGTTCTTGATCATTTAACCTTGAGGATCCCAAGTTAAGGCTTGCAACTTGATTTCCGTAATGTACGACTTTTCAGTGCAGTCCCTCATACAAGTTCCATATAATGATGAGTTTGTTAGCATCCCAAGGGAAACTGCGTCAAACCTTTGCAGAGTTGCTTATCCAATTGTCCAGTACTTCTTCAGCTTCGAACTTAGTTCAGCCAACACCAGGTGGTTTCCAGTTAACATTTTTTAGCGAATTCCTTGTTTACGGGATGAGGTTTCTAACCCCGTGCCTAACCCTCCTCATGTACCCAGGGCTTGTGACCAGTAGTAACTCTGAAAGAAATCCAAGTGATGGTGTTCTGAAGTCATATCAGCTCCTCACATTATTTTTAACTCCAAATGAATTTTTTATTGATATAGATGTGGTCAATCTGGTTTCTCCAAGTTAGCCCTTCCTATTTGTTTTCAAAAACTCCGCCTGGAGTCCCTCCGGGGGCTACTGCCGGTCCCAAGCCCGGATAAAGGAGGAGGGTTGGGCATGGGGTTAGCGTCCCCATCCCGTAGAAAACTAACTCACTAAAAAAACGCTAACCAGAAAAAATTATTCAAACCTTTTATACTCTGCCCTGGGAGTCAGAAGATCTTCATTTAGAAGAATTATGACGCCTCATGATGAAAGCCGAATCCCTTCGGAAGTTACGAGGCCGATGCCCCTTCTGACAACCAGAGCGATCATTTATTTAGGTAAATGGAATGTTCGTACAATGTGGGACACCGGAAGAGCCTTCCAGATTGCTGCAGAAATGAGATACAACCTAGAGGTACTTGGGATCAGTGAAACACATTGGACACAAGTTGGACAACAACGACTAACTACAGGAGAGCTCCTGTTATACTCCGGCCATGAAGAAGAAAATGCACCACATACACAAGGAGTTGCATTGATGCTGTCCAAACAAGCACAAAATGCACTTATAGGATGGGAATCTCATGGACCAAGGATCATCAAAGCCTCGTTTAAAACAAAGAAAGAGGGCATTTCAATGAACATCATCCAATGCTATGCGCCTACCAACGACTACAATGAAGACGCTAAAGATCAATTCTACAATAGGCTGCAGTCAATAGTCGAGAAGTGCCCAACAAAGGACCTGACCATTCTGATGGGAGATTTCAACGCCAAGGTGGGAACGGACAACACTGGATATGAAGACATCATGGGACGACACGGACTGGGAGAAAGAAACGAAAATGGTGAGAGATTTGCAAATCTATGTGCCTTCAATAAGCTGGTCATAGGCGGTACCATATTCCCACATAAACGCATACACAAAACCACATGGACTTCACCGGATCACTCTACACAAAACCAAATCGACCATATTTGCATCAACAAAACGTTCAGGAGGACTATAGAGGACGTGAGAACCATGAGAGGAGCTGATATATCATCAGATCATCACTTACTGGTCTCCAAGATGAAATTGAAACTCAAGAAGCACTGGACAACGGAGCAGACAGTATCACAAAAGTTCAATACGGCCTTTCTCCAGGATACTAACAAACTCAACAAATTCAAGATAGACCTCAGCAACAAGTTCCAGGCCTTTCATGATCTACTCAATGGAGAAGGAACTACTGTGGAGAGCAACTGGAAGGGGATCAAAGAGGCAATCACTTCAACATGTCATGAGGTCCTGGGTCACAAGAAGCACCATCACAAGGAATGGATCACTGTTCGTACACTGGATAAGATTCAAGAAAGGAGGAACAAGAAAGCAGCAATCAATACCAGTCGAACAAGAGCAGAAAAAGCCAAGGCACAAGCTGAATACACGGAAATAAACAAACAAGTGAAGAGGAGCATCAGAACCGACAAACGTAAATATGTGGAACATTTAGCAACGACGGCGGAAAAGGCTGCAAGAGAAGGGAACATGAGACAATTGTATGACACGACAAAGAAACTCTCTGGAAATCGCCGCAAACCAGAACGACCAGTGAAAAGCAAGGAAGGCAAGGTAATCACCAACATTGAAGAGCAACAAAACAGGTGGGTGGAACATGTCAAAGAACTCTTGAATCGACCAGCACCACTGAACCCACCCAACATCGAAGCAGCACCCATGGACCTCCCAATCAATGTTGGCCGACCAACAATTGAAGAAATCAGCATGGCCATCAGACAAATCAAGAGTGGCAAAGCAGCAGGACCGGACAACATCCCAGCAGAGGCACTAAAAGCAGACGTAGTGGCAACTGCACGGATACTCCACATTCTCTTCAATAAGATTTGGGATGGAGAACAAGCACCAACAGACTGGAAAGAAGGACTACTGATCAAAATACCGAAGAAAGGCGATCTCAGCAAGTGTGATAACTACAGAGGCATCACTCTTCTCTCAATACCGGGAAAAGTCTTCAACAGAGTATTGTTAAACAGGATGAAGGACTGCGTAGACACCCAACTTCGAGACCAACAGGCAGGATTCCGTAAGGATAGATCGTGTACAGACCAAATCTCAACTCTATGGATCATTGTGGAACAATCAATTGAATGGAATTCATCACTCTACATCAACTTCATTGACTACGAAAAGGCATTTAACAGCGTGGACAGAACAACACTATGGAAACTTCTTCGACACTACGGCGTGCCTCAGAAGATAGTCAATATCATACAGAACTCATATGATGGATTACACTGCAAAATTGTGCATGGAGGACAGTTGACAAAGTCGTTCGAAGTGAAGACCGGTGTTAGGCAAGGTTGCTTACTCTCACTTATCCTCTTTCTCCTGGTGATCGACTGGATCATGAAGTCGTCAACGTCTGAAGGAAAGCGCGGTATACAATGGACATCTAAGATGCAGTTGGATGATCTAGACTTCGCAGACGATCTGGCCCTTCTATCCCAAATGCAACAACAGATGCAGGAGAAGACAAACAGTGTGGCAGCAGCCTCAGCAGCAATAGGTCTCAATATACACAAAGGGAAAAGCAGGATTCTCCGATACAACACAGAATGCACCAATCCAATCACAATTGACGGAAAGATTTGGAAGATGTAAAGGTCTTTACATATCTGGGCAGCATCATTGATGAACAGGGTGGATCTGATGCAGATGTGAAGGCGCGGATCGGCAAAGCAAGAGCAGCATATTTACAACTGAGGAACATCTGGAACTCAAAACAACTGTCAACCAACACCAAGGTCAGGATTTTCAATACAAATGTCAAGACAGTTCTACTGTATGGGGCAGAAACCTGGAGAACTACAAAAGCCATCATCCAGAAAATACAGGTGTTTATTAACAATTGTCTACGCAAAATACTTCAGATCCATTGGCCGGACACTATTAGCAACAGCGCACTGTGGGAGAGAACAAACCAGATCCCAGTGGAGGAAGAAATCAGGAAGAAGCACTGGAAGTGGATAGGACACACATTGAGGAAAGCACCCAACTGCGTCACAAGACAAGCCCTCACATGGAATCCTGAAGGTCAAAGGAAAAGAGGAAGACCAAAGAACACATTACGCCGAGAAATAGAGATAGACATGAGAAAAATGAACAAGAATTGGATGGAACTAGAAAAGAAGGCCCAGGATAGAGTGGGTTGGAGAATGCTGGTCAGCGGCCTACGCTCCATTGGGAGTAACAGGCGTAAGTAAGTAAGTAAGTAAGTATTTGTTTTGAAAGATGTTTTAATCATCATGGAGCCATGAAATTCACATCCTATGGGCGCTGTTCGTGTTTCTTTAAACAGTATCAGTGTAAGTCCTTGTGCGTGCGAGGTATTTCTTCTTCATGACCAGAATACAACAACACCTCACCCGAAACTAGCCTCTTTTGTTCAATTTGTATTTCACAACGCAGCGTTACAACTCTTCTATATGAAAACTCTTCAACCATTAGGGTAGAGTTTAAACGGATTAAATTATTTTTATGATTGATGTTTTTTAGAGTGGTTCATTTTACTGGGTGAGGTTGTTAACCATGTACCTGACCCTCCTTTACTCGAGTTTGGAACCGGGTGAAGTTTATTTGTGGTGTACTGCATTTTTACAACAATTCACGATAAAAAAGAGGTACCGCACGGTTTCTGAGTAACCAGTAGCTCTAGATTTATTTTTATTGTATCACATGTGTCTTGACGAAATACCCAATATACTACTGAATATTACTCAGTCAAGTGTGATAACTATTAGTGATATGACGTGATATCGAACAAAAGAGCAAACAGAAGCTTACTTATTTACGCCTGTTACTCCTAATGGAGCATAGGCCACCGGCCAGCATTCTCCAACCCACTCTGTCCTGAGCCTTCTTTTCTAGTTCTATCCAATTCTTGTTCATTTTTCTCATGTCTATCTCCATTTCTCGGCGTAATGTGTTCTTTGATCTTTCTCTCCTCCTTCGGCCTTGAGGATTACATGTGAGGGCTTGTCTTGTGACGCAGTTGGGTGCTTTCCTCAATGTGTGTCCTATCCACTTCCAGTGCTTCTTCCTGATTTCTTCCTCCACTGGGATCTGGTTTGTTCTTTCCCATAGTAGGTTGTTGCTGATAGTGTCCGGCCAACGGATCCGAAGTATTTTGCGTAGACAATTGTTAATAAACACCTGTATTTTCTGGATGATGGCTTTTGTAGTTCTCCAGGTTTCTGCCCCATACAGTAGAACTGTCTTGACATTTGTATTGAAAATCCTGACCTTGGTGTTGGTTGACAGTTGTTTTGAGTTCCAGACGTTCCTCAGTTGTAAATATGCTCCTCTCGATTTCCCGACTCGCGCCTTCACGTCTGCATCGGATCCACCGTGTTCATCTGTTATGCTGCCCAGATATGTAAAGACCTTTACATCTTCCAAATCTTTCCGTCAAGTGTGATTCGATTGTTGCATGCTGTGCAAATAGAAACACCGATTGAAAATGCCCTACTCTTTCAACGTTAAGTCTACTGCAGTATATTTAGGTTTTATAACATTTTTACCCGTTTTTCCCATGCTGGACACAACACACAAGTACTAACTTTTTTTCAATATTTTAGTGCCAGTTTATATATAGCTACCGCAGTATCTTAAGGATCTTGAGAATGTTATTTAGTAAGCTGAGAGTAATACTAGAGATCTCAGTTACCCTCAGTCAACCAATTATTTATGATTAACGAATGACCTGACACAAGTAAGCATCAGCACAGAAGTGAAATCGACAAGAAAAACAACGAAAGAGTTGAAACAATAATGGTGAAAATGATAGTAAGAAAGACAACATAGGGAATATGGTTGGTTGATAACAGAATGTATAAATAAATATTGAAACGCAAGCTTTAGAGGAAGATAATGAGTAAATGAAATTGAGATACTGAAATCAGTCTTGACCCAAGTTGTCTGGCCTCATAATAATCCTTTCATTCAAAAACCAACGTTTAGCAGCCAAAACGTAGGACTACTGCATAGCATATTTTGCCTCTGATAGGTAAGGAAGATATCTTGCCTATCCGATAAGTGGAGTGGGCTTTTTGCATTTGTCCAGTGATTTCGTCACTCACTAGTGCACCACGGCTAATGAAACTTTTAAGATAATTTAAGTGGTCAACGTACTCGAAAATTGTACAATTTTCTTAAATTAGTTATTGACGGACATCAGTCATAAGGAATTACTCCAAATTTGGATGGAGACGCATGTAGAAACATCTTCCCATTGTTACTCAAAGTATGTAGAAGAGCTCCACTAGTAAGAATTTTCCGATTCCGATGACAATTAGCTATAAGCTCTGACTCGACCAGAAGTATTCGAGTAGAGAGCTTGTACAAGGTTAATGTACTTATTCGATACGCCTTTCAATGACAGGCACTGGTGCAGAACCTAATGATCAACAAAGTCGAATTCTGCCTTAATGTCAAGAAATACAACTGTAGTACGACGTCGAAAGGTATGTCTATGTTCTACAATCTGCTGAAGGGTAAATACTTGGTCTATACATTCATGTACAGATGTGGACCAGTCTGGTTTTCTCAGACTCACTTTCCAAGAGCTATAATTAGACATCAAAGTATTATTGAGGCTAATATTTTAGATATTGTATTAGTTAAACTGATTCCTCTGTGATTATCATAAGACGATTTTTGTCCTTTCTTATAAACTGGGACGACCGGCGATCAAGACCAGTCAGATGGGATCACGTCCAGTTTCGAGATTCAGTTGATCTTAGTGCTAAAACTTGACCACCATCCTTAAGAATTTAAAGGGTTATTTCATCAGGCCCTGCTGCTTTCCCTCACTTTAGATTACTTATAGCCTTTTCAACTTCACTAAGAGTTGGAAAAATTACATCGGTTTGCCATTCAGGTAGCTTAGGGATAATGAGTAACTGAAGTGTCTGATGGCCAGCTGAACTGTTCTTTAGAACGTTCTGCCCATTGGTCCAATCTCTTGAATCGAGGACGGAAAATAGTTCTGTCTTTTGGCAAGACAGTTTCACTATCAGCCTTATGTTTAATACCCGTTTTCTTGATAGATCTGAACAGTGGTCTACTATTATGCATCGCTGATGCCTTTTATCTACCCACCACTGCTCACAATCACTATGTAGGCCTTTTATCAGACTATGTCCAAGCTTCCTTCGCTTCTCATCTAGTTTGGAGCCAGATGTGATGAATATCCGAACATCTATCAGTTTTGCAGATGCCGCTGAAATCCGCTGGTTTAAGTTAATAATAAATATCACAGCTATTTTCACAGCTTTTTGGATATCATGCCAAGCTACCTCAGAGCGAATATCACTTCACGGCTGACGAACACTTTCTTTAGTTGTTCCTGAAATGTATTCTTAACCATTCGATAATGAAGTTGAACTCTAAGGCAAAACCGAAGAAAAAGTAACAGCGCGCGCCACACCTTTCTGAGTTCTTATTGTCGCGTTTAGTGGAACAGCGCACATGCGACAAGGAGGCACCAAATACGTAAGCGCCACACAGATCTCATTTGATATGTGTGAGGGCTGTGATACTGCCCGGATGCCCAAACCGAAACAGGGCACATGCGACTGTCTACTGGAATCCAGTTTAACTGAACCCGTTCTACTTTTGAACCAAATTCTACACCTACACCATTGAGGTCACGAGAAGTAGCAGTTGGGTCTCCAGATACTCAAAAAATGAATCTTTCCGGTTCCTTATATTGACAAGGTGAAGCCAAATGAAATGCCTTACTTGGATCCTGTATATGCATTTTCAATACGCATCATACATCGATGGCGCGAGATCCTACAGTCCAAGCTACAGAAGCCTGTTGTTCTATCTGACACAAGGTTCGAACATTAAAAGCTCCAATATATAGCTTAAAGCGTGGTTTCAGGAGACCAGGAAGAACACTCTGTTATAAACTCTTTCTTACGGTCATGACCCAGCTATTCCTATTGCTTAGTATTCTTGGACACCAAATCACTCGACAAGACCCCAAATCAGAACACGGTTGAACAGGAAAGAGATTACATTCCAAATAACCAGGTTGGATAGAAGTAAGATGCAAGAAAGAAGCACAATAGGGAAAACGTTAGTACATTTATGGTTTTTACATGAGAAGATTCTAGAGTATTCTCCAAGTATCGACTAGTGTTGATTGGATAAGAATTAGCCAATCAGCGTGCACCAAAGCAATCGTGCATTGAGCATGCTTTAATCCAGTCTATGTCCCGCTAACAGAACCCAAATCAATAGCATTGGTGGCTCGTGCTGATTAAGATATACGAGAACGTGTTGTGACTTTATGTCCGGCTTTTTATCACGTGATTTATCCACCAATCAAAATACGAATAATACAATCTTAGCACTGTGCCAAACCAATGACGTTCGACCGGCATGAGCAGCCTAGTGTCCTTATTGGTCCTATGTCCGCTTAGCCCATCTACTTGAGTCCAGAACACCAGTACCAGCTTCCACTATGCGAATCATATATTTCAGACATACTGGGTTTATATATCAAACAAACAGACCGCAACACACCATAAAATAGGAAATAACATTCGTACACAATAAAGCGAAAAAGTGGCTGTGAACGTGGGTGGTTGTTCGAGGGAACACCTTACCACCGCCACACCCCTCTACAGTCAGTAGTACGATTCCGACCTCGGGTTTAAAGTTACTGCTTTTAGTTTTATCGTTCTTTAACCGACCTGCCTGGCATGGTGAGACCTAAAGCGACACGTGTCCTAGCCAATATAACAGCTGAGTCATCATGATTGGGAAGCATGACCACCACCTCAAAGTAGCAGCTACGGTCCGGTGGCAGCTACATGTATCACTGCCAAATAAATTCAAAACAAATTATGAATAACTAAAATTATATACGATACCATTAGAAAAACTAAAATCAGTATGAGAAACTCGCAGTAGCAATTAAGTCCATACTACATTTACGTGAATGCCTTGAAATTCGACTCACTTTAACGGACAGCTCACATATCAGAAACCCAAGTCGTTCCTCAAGCAGCTTGAGATCTACATCACCATTATTGACTCGAGGCCATCCAAAAAAGATATCTAATGAACGAGGTAAGAAAATTACCACCATTTACGAAAAGTAAGAGCAGTTTCTGAGAAACAGCAACATAAAAATTAATACATACTATGTAAGTAAACATGAGACTTAAAATTTACTTTCGTTCGTTTCTGATTTAATTTCCCACTACTTTTGATATTTTTGCCTATAATGGTATATCAACTGTTTTCCCTTGATGGAGTGATATGAAGTGTTGCAAACGAATATACTGTTTGAAGTAAAAGCTATACAATATATTGCTTTACCCAAGCTATGTTTCCTTACTCTTTACCTGAATTCGTTGGCCGTTCGTATTATTAACCAGTTGTAAACTCAGTTCGCTTATCAAGTATTAATAAAATGAACAGAACACATGTACCAAAGTGATTCAAACGTGACAAAAAATATTGTGGTTTAGAAAACAAACCCGCTAAATTGACAGTATTTAGGTGTTTCCCAGAGGCATTTGTTCATATATATTGTCAAGCAGTTTACTGGTCATCAACACAATTTAGAGAATACAAATACGATTATGTTCATCTATTGTGAAAGTTATGAATGTGGTTAAAAACATGCGATCAAACAACTTTTGGTTAATCTTTCCCAATAAGCGAGATGACAGTTGACACAAAATCAAAAATCTTCAGTCCATACAAGGTAACCACTGTAAATGTTATATATACAAGTGTGCATTTATGCAGTGAACGAGAAAAGGCGGAGACAAAAAAAATGTGTTTGAATACAAAATCCCTTAGTAAAATCTGAAAACCATACAGTAAATACTTTATCTGCAAAATGTTTAGCAATTGTTTCAGGCTTCACTGTTCCTTTATTTCCATACCAATCACACTCTGTTCTCGTTCCCTTCTCTTCAATCTTCTTAACCCTTTGCCTCCAGACACTACTTCTTATATCTGTCGACATCAGTAGCACACACCACACTTACACTACTGTACACTTCCTAAAGCTCAGCATTCCAAAGCTTTAAGCAGGAGATAGTACATACGTGAGGATGTTTGATCTCTAAATTCAGAACTGATATGAGTTTAACCCCCAAATGATCTGGTACAGTCGAGGGTGAAAAGTCAGCTCTCCCTCTGGAAGTGCTCTAACATGTCTACGCTTATAAAGCCAATGCTAAGGAAGTCCTACTCACTGCCTTCTCGTAGCGAGTGTCGTTTACGAAAAACGATAATAGATAATAGAGATCGAGACTTAGCTAGGCTATAATTTATAGATGACCTTTGAGCAATGTTGAACTGACCATAAGAGACCCCAACTAGTCACTAGGGTTAAAGATTGATGTGAGGAGCCAGAGCTTAAGGTTTACGAATTAGAATTAAGGCTTTTATCACAAACTGACCAACTATAATCCCAAAACGTCATTTAGTTATACGGACGAATGAGTTTAACACTAAAATCCAAGGGTCATGATCTTAAATCTAACTAGTTCACCTAAAAGTTATATTTCTGCCATATAAAGGTTCACAGAGAGAGAACTGTAGTACAAAGACGCAAACTTACCTAGCATAGAGTAGACGGAGATGCATAAATCAACCAATGATCGAGAGATGGAGAAATTCGGACTTTCAATGAAATTCATAGAAGTTACCACCACTACAGACAAAGCTTTATATAAATCCTCAAAAGAAAAGATAAGCGCAAAAAGTCGTTACTCTATTAAAATGTTTGTAAATATTTCGAGTTCCTTTCAGAAGCCAAGGAGAGATTTTCCATGCATGTACTTCACCTACAACACTGAGTTACAAAAATAGACTTGCCCGTGAATGTTGTGCAAGGCACAATGAACTGTGCGTCTGTATGGATTTCCTGTCGTTGACTTTTATTTACGACATTTAAATCTCGAAAACATATTCTGGCAGCCGCCTCACACTTTTCAACTTTGTTATCATAGAAGAGGTCCGATATATTTAAATCCTGTGTACATTCAAAAGGCCTAAGAGTGAAGAACTAACTTCGTAAGCTGCTAAAGACAAGAATGATTTAGGAAGTTGTACAGGGAAAGTCTCCCAAGTGAACAAACATTTATCAACAACCTGACATGGATTATTCATAAGAAACATACCTCTTTTAAAGATTTGATGACTTCCGTGTACTCTCCGTAACAAATTTTGTTATTTTCTTTGATGCCAGAGACAAAAGCCACTCTCTATTTATACGTAGTTTAATAATAACTCAAGTATGTGGACTTACTCCAGGTTCATTAACATTACAGTCACAAGATAAGAGAGAAGACAAATTCCCTTCGAAATTAACGTTGACCTTTTTGGTCATTAAAGAGGCAAACTAGGTATCTAATGTGACCTTAAACACATAACGCCGGTAAGGATTCAAGCCAGTTGCAAGGTCAAATCACGTGCTCAGTAGTTCCAATATCTGATGTCATCATTTCAAGCTAATTTCGATTAAGTGATTTGTTTACGCCCTTGTTTCGTCGTTCAGCCTTAAAACAAGGTTTTTAACTGCATTGAAAGCATTCATTTTGGTCACTAGACTGCTCCAGTCCTCATAAAGTAGACAGATTTGGGCGATCTGTATATCTTAAGTACAAATGAATTAAATTATCTTATAGATCTGAGTTGTCCAATAATTTTGTCGAGGTTCTCAGCCTTTATTTGAGACAACACATTGGTGATGCTTTGCCTCAAGATCTCACTATTTGTTTGTATCAGAGATTTTCTTTTCATAATCGAGTAATTGACTCGTCCCATAATAACACTCACTATTTTAACAAATTCTTAGCCATCGACACTCATGTTACCAGTGCAGCCACTATCAACCTCCTTGCTGATCAGAGCATCAAGATCCACTGCCTCGTGGATGAGTAATGTCTCAATCGAACTGTTAAACATGCAAAGCCAGTGGGTGTTAGGCCTCCATCATCTCCATCTGGTGGGATTTAAACATGTACATATCTTGTAGAACTAGTTGTACACCTACCACATGACACGTCTTTCTCCACATGTAAGAAAGCATTTGGACATCCACATTTATAAATACAGCCAACCACTGTATACATATTTGACTGGAGGAATCGAGAAACATACATAAGATAATGATCAACGGGAGTTTGCCACAAGACGGGTTTAAAGAAAACTCCAAACCATCGGGACAATTGAAGTTTAAGTAGGGCAAGTATGATTTTGATAAAATCAATTCATGAAAGCAAATTTATGTCACGAGAAGTACGAAATCATGAATTTTTAAAACGCGCCTCGAAAAACGGCTTTAAATATTTCAGGTTCTATATCGACTCATTAACACATTGTATTTAATCCAGGTTTGTATTGAAAATCCTGACCTTGTTTTTGGTTGACAGTTGTTTTGAGTTACAGACGTTTCTCAGCTGTAAATATGATGCTCTCGATTTCCCGACCCGCGCCTTCACGTGTGCATCAGATCGACCGTGTTCATCAGTAATGCTGCCCAGATATGTAAAGACCTTTACATCTTCCAAATCTTTCCGTCAATTGTGATTGGATTGGTGCATTCTGTGTTGTATCGGAGAATCCTGCTTTTCCCTTTGTGTATATTGAGACCTATTGCTGCTGAGGCTGCTGCCACACTGTTTGTCTTCTCCTGCATCTGTTGTTGCATTTGGGATAGAAGGGCCAGATCGTCTGCGAAGTCTAGATCATCCAACTGCATCTTAGATGTCCATTGTATACCGCGCTTTCCTTCAGACGTTGACGACTTCATGATCCAGTCGATCACCAGGAGAAAGAGGATAAGTGAGAGTAAGCAACCTTGCCTAACACTGGTCTTCACTTTGAACGACTTTGTCAACTGTCCTCCATGCACAATTTTGCAGTGTAATCCATCATATGAGTTCTGTATGATATTGACTATCTTCTGAGGCACGCCGTAGTGTCGAAGAAGTTTCCATAGTGTTGTTCTGTCCACGCTGTTAAATGCCTTTTCGTAGTCAATGAAGTTGATGTAGAGTGATGAATTCCATTCAATTGATTGTTCCACAATGATCCATAGAGTTGAGATTTGGTCTGTACACGATCTATCCTTACGGAATCCTGCCTGTTGGTCTCGAAGTTGGGTGTCTACGCAGTCCTTCATCCTGTTTAACAATACTCTGTTGAAGACTTTTCCCGGTATTGAGAGAAGAGTGATGCCTCTGTAGTTATCACACTTGCTGAGATCGCCTTTCTTCGGTATTTTGATCAGTAGTCCTTCTTTCCAGTCTGTTGGTACTTGTTCTCCATCCCAAATCTTATTGAAGAGAATGTGGAGTATCCGTGCAGTTGCCGCTACGTCTGCTTTTAGTGCCTCTGCTGGGATGTTGTCCGGTCCTGCTGCTTTGCCACTCTTGATTTGTCTGATGGCCATGCTGATTTCTTCAATTGTTGGTCGGCCAACATTGATTGGGAGGTCCATGGGTGCTGCTTCGATGTTGGGTGGGTTCAGTGGTGCTGGTCGATTCAAGAGTTCTTTGACATGTTCCACCCACCTGTTTTGTTGCTCTTCAATGTTGGTGATTACCTTGCCTTCCTTGCTTTTCACTGGTCGTTCTGGTTTGCGGCGATTTCCAGAGAGTTTCTTTGTCGTGTCATACAATTGTCTCATGTTCCCTTCTCTTGCAGCCTTTTCCGCCGTCGTTGCTAAATGTTCCACATATTTACGTTTGTCGGTTCTGATGCTCCTCTTCACTTGTTTGTTTATTTCCGTGTATTCAGCTTGTGCCTTGGCTTTTTCTGCTCTTGTTCGACTGGTATTGATTGCTGCTTTCTTGTTCCTCCTTTCTTGAATCTTATCCAGTGTACGAACAGTGATCCATTCCTTGTGATGGTGCTTCTTGTGACCCAGGACCTCATGACATGTTGAAGTGATTGCCTCTTTGATCCCCTTCCAGTTGCTCTCCACAGTAGTTCCTTCTCCATTGAGTAGATCATGAAAGGCCTGGAACTTGTTGCTGAGGTCTATCTTGAATTTGTTGAGTTTGTTAGTATCCTGGAGAAAGGCCGTATTGAACTTTTGTGATACTGTCTGCTCCGTTGTCCAGTGCTTCTTGAGTTTCAATTTCATCTTGGCGACCAGTAAGTGATGATCTGATGATATATCAGCTCCTCTCATGGTTCTCACGTCCTCTATAGTCCTCCTGAACGTTTTGTTGATGCAAATATGGTCGATTTGGTTTTGTGTAGAGTGATCCGGTGAAGTCCATGTGGTTTTGTGTATGCGTTTATGTGGGAATATGGTACCGCCTATGACCAGCTTATTGAAGGCACATAGATTTGCAAATCTCTCACCATTTTCGTTTCTTTCTCCCAGTCCGTGTCGTCCCATGATGTCTTCATATCCAGTGTTGTCCGTTCCCACCTTGGCGTTGAAATCTCCCATCAGAATGGTCAGGTCCTTTGTTGGGCACTTCTCGACTATTGACTGCAGCCTATTGTAGAATTGATCTTTAGCGTCTTCATTGTAGTCGTTGGTAGGCGCATAGCATTGGATGATGTTCATTGAAATGCCCTCTTTCTTTGTTTTAAACGAGGCTTTGATGATCCTTGGTCCATGAGATTCCCATCCTATAAGTGCATTTTGTGCTTGTTTGGACAGCATCAATGCAACTCCTTGTGTATGTGGTGCATTTTCTTCTTCATGGCCGGAGTATAACAGGAGCTCTCCTGTAGTTGGTCGTTGTTGTCCAACTTGTGTCCAATGTGTTTCACTGATCCCAAGTACCTCTAGGTTGTATCTCATTTCTGCAGCAATCTGGAAGGCTCTTCCGGTGTCCCACATTGTACGAACATTCCATTTACCTAAATAAATGATCGCTCTGGTTGTCAGAAGGGGCATCGGCCTCGTAACTTCCGAAGGGATTCGGCTTTCATCATGAGGCGTCATAATTCTTCTAAATGAAGATCTTCTGACTCCCGGGGCGGAGTTTAAAAAGTTTCAATGGTTCTTTCTGGTTAGCGTTTTTTTAGTGAGTTAGTTTTCTACGGGATAGGGACGCTAACCCCATGCCCAACTCTCCCCCTTTATCCGGGCTTGGGACCGGCAGCAGCCTCCGGAGCGACTCCAGGCGTAGTTTGTATTACCTTACATAACATGTTAATAACGTTGGATAATAATTCACCTGAATCAACCCTTTAAAAATGGCCGCCTCACCTCCACTTCCACGCAACACTGATGTCTACCATTTTCAATAGTGTTTACCACCAGCTTTGCGTTTACTGTTACGGCTTTATTATTATACGTATGTCATGTTAATTTCGTTCTCGGTTTATCTGTATACTATGCAAGTTGGAAAATATTTGAACGACCCCAAGAATTTTCCACAAGCCAACCATAAATCTTCAAGTATATCTGTATTGACGCATCAATTTGTCAAGACTAATATAACCCTAACTGAAATTTAAGACAACTGTCAGTGTGTGTCATAACACTGTTGTTTAGCAGCATCATTGGAGTTTACATACGAAGTGCGGTAATTACTTAACTTCGATGTTGTGCTTTATGTGTTCTACTCAAAATAAGCTGTTCAGCTCTAAACGTTAAACTTAGCAATCAACTACTATCCATTATTGCGTCATGATTCACTATCAAAGAGCGTAAAACACCATACAAAGCTGATTTAGCATATTTGTTTGTGGGTATATACGGAGACGCATTTATTGTAAAGCATGTGAAGCAACACTGTGTTTTCAACTCACTGAAGACTCGTCAACAGTATAAGAGCTAATTTATAACGATTTTTAAAACCATATGCCTCTTCTGTGACTTGACAATCATGCAGTATGAACGATAAAAGTGACGAAACGAATAGCAAATCTCGGTTGATGAGTCGGCCGATAGTTGTCCCTCTATAGTGTTGAATTCTCTAGTTCGCCTTAATTTGACGCAGATGATTACGACATGTTTTCCTGTCAATTGCCTTATCAAGTGAACAGAGAGAACCTAGTAAGGTAAATGAAAAGTTTATCGACACAATCTTCAGTGCAAATCATCAATATCGGAAGTCGAGCAAACCCTCTGCAAACTGAAAACGTCATTGTCTAATTGACCAGAACACTAATAAAAGTTCGTGTTGTTATCAAAAACATGAGTTATTAGCTGTACTCCACTCGGTTACAACTTACGCTCTCCCTCAAAATCAAATTTGCGACACTGACTGTTTGCCATTTTGTGAGCATTTATTTAACTGAGAACATGGGAAATCATGTCACCTTTATTTGTGGAAATTACGCTTGACCAAGCACAACAACTTGTGATCACTACATTTCAAATAATTTGATTTTAACCTTATGCCAAACTTGATACTTTGGACTAACGTATATGCACCATCAAGCGGCATGTATGAATGTAGATAATTGTGTTATCGCATATCAAAACATGGAGTCTA